AATTTCATACAACTCAATAGAAGAGGTATACACAGTCTCTAATTGTAATTTTTAAAGACTCTTTTACTAATTGTGAAAAATATATTAATCCTCGAAAAAAAATGGAGGGGTAATTATTCTCACTAAAGCATAGGAACTCTTTCATTAACAGTGACATAACAAGTGTATAATATGTAAGAGAGCAATCAGTGACACCAAAAACCTTCTCCGTACACAGTGAGAGTTGGAGAGCTAGTGGGGTGATGGTGCAGTGAGGTCAGAGGCGCTGGAGAATTAGCAGGGAGAGAAGGGGGAGGGGTGTGAGAGATGAAGTAATCGCCATTAGAGCAGGGTTGGGATGAGGCTAGGATGGCAGATCGAGGAGGCTCTTGGAGGCCTTGTCATTTACTTGCAGGATTTTGGCTTTCACTCTGAGTGAGAAGGAGAGTTCTACTTAATTTTTAAAAGGATGTTTCAGGTTGTTGTGTTCTGATTAGACCGTATGGGGTGGGGAAGGGTAAAAGCAGGGTAAGCTGGTAGGCAGCGATAACTACAATCCCGGCAGGAGCTGGTAATGGCTGGACCAGGGATGGAATTGGTGCAAAGTGGCAAACTTCTGCAGTGTTTTATTATATATACACAAGAACATGCACACACATATACATATGTGTGTATTGTATAATACACATAAATAACACACCTAATTTTTTCCTAACCATTTGAGAGTGTTACAGACACCATGTATCTTTACCCCTCAACACTTCAGTACAGCAGAAGGATATTCTCTTACATATCACACTAAATTTCAAACTTAGGAAACTTGACATTGATCCACTGCATTCCAATTTTGTTTATTGATGCAATTATATCCTTTATAGCATTTCCCCCATTCCAATGCAGGATCCAGTCTAGGGTCAGGATTATATTTAGTGTTCAGAGATGTTTAGCCTCTTTTAACCTGGAACCTAGCCTTTCACTACCTTTCTCCTATTTTTTTTTTTTTATAGCATTGGTATTACTGAAGAATACAGCTACATACACACACACACACACACACACACACACACACCTACTTTTTAAAAAATAGAACTGTCCCTCCTTTTAGGTTTGTCTGGCATTTCCTCATAGCTAGGTCTGGGTCATACATTCTCAGCCATAATACTATATACAAGGTGCTGTTTTGTTCTTCTCAAGGTATCACATTAGAAGTCACACATGCACCAGGGTGCCCTTTTCTCCACAACCTCACCACCACTTAAGGCAATGCATTTGTATGTATTTATGCATAACCAGTGGACAGGACAATGAAGTGATGAGCGGTTGGGGAAGGGGAGAGTACTGGAGTGGACTGGAGGAGGCTAATGGAGGAAAAGGAGGAACTATGTAACACGTTCAACAATAAAGAAACAAAATTTAAAAAAATGAATTAACATTAAATATGAATAAATAAATACGCCCCATTTTTGCTTTGAAATGAAAAAACAAAAGGTGGAAATTTAAAAAAAAAAAGAAGTCACACATGCCCATCTGATATTAAATTTTAACACGTGATGGAGTTGTCTGATTTTACTGCTGTGTAGTTACTATTTTCTGCTTACAATAATTAATAAGCAATTTCTAGAGAGCAACAATAAAACCATGTTAATATGTAAATATTCTGGTCTTCATCACAATTTCCCCCTAGATATAGTATCTGATGATTCTAGCCTGATCCAAGTTTTTACTGAAACAGATGCAGAATGCCGATTTCCCAAATCTAACGGCCATTCTGCAGTTACCAGCTGGCACTCAACTGACTATAACAAGCAAAGAGCCCTCCTTTCCTCCAATTAAAACTGTATGGACTACTGAATCACTTCATTTTCCATGGTTTGTAATTCATTACTGTATTTAATTATCTTGGACTCAAGCACTTCCAGATTTGGCCAATGGGAGCCCCGCCAAGCTGGTTCCTTGTGACATGCTCCCTGCATCGTGAACATTTCCTTATTTTCTGTATAACATGTTCCAGGTCCATCTTGTACTTACCCTACCAGACCTGAAATCAGTCATTTCTCCAAGAATCCTGGGTACTTTTTAGTAGGGACTGGAATATGGGCACTTGGTTATGCTACTGGGATATTTACTTCTTGGCTCCTTAGTTGATTGAGTGATAAACACATACACACACACACACACACATCCCTGCACACAAATATCTATATACATAAAGATATTCATGTGCACATATACATTCATATGCACATATATATATATTTTAGAAATGATGCATTCACAACAATACCTCCAATTCTAGCCCATTCCACAAAATTCTTTCTTGATCTCCAATATTCTATTTTCTATGTCTTTGCTTTTTCATTGAAGTTCTGGACTTCAACAACAATCAACCCATGTTCTGAAACCTATAATACATCTTAAAATTGTTTCAGAACTCTTTTGACCATACCCCTAAAACAAACATCCTTAAAATATATCAAGATTTGTTTGCAATTCCTTTCCAACTCAATCCTAAGCTGGCAAATGCTGAACACAAATACTGGGGTCATTATTACACTAGTATCCTCTGCAGCCACTTACACAGAGCTTGGGGATTGATTGCCAAAGGTTAGCTTAAATTCCCCTGCGAAACCATATACATGGACTATCAAATTGTGCTTCTACAGCTTTGACATTGAATGTCAGCTTGCCCATGTACTATATTTTTAGTTTATACTTTCTTTAGTTTCTTGAAAACGTTGCTCTGCTACTGCTTTACATGTTCTGTTGAGAAGGCTGATGCTGGCCTTTGTAAATTATTAGATCTTTTCACTTGGAGGCACTTGTTTCAAAAACCTCAGTTTTATTATACTTTATTATCTAGAGCTGATCTTTCCAGGCCAAGTTTCCCTAATACCCAGTAGCATTCAGGTCTTCTTTAATGTCTGGAACGTTTTCTTGGATTATGGTTCTAAATAGTAGTGCTGTCCAGTTGCTATTATTTACTTAAAGAAACTATTTCATTCTAATTTCCCTGGTTATTTTTCTAGTTTTCTTCAATGCCTTTTCATTTAAATATTAGTATATTCTTCCTAGGGAAACTTGTAATTTAGCTTTCTTTTCTAATATGATTTTCTATTTTCCTATTCTTTTCTTTCCTACGTTTTATCAACTCTCATTTCATTTCTTCGAGGGTTGTTTTTTGTTTTGTTTTGGTCAATTTCTAGTCTTAGTTTTTAAATTTCTAATTCTTAGTGCCAAATGCTTGTTCCAGGATACTTGAGCTGTAGTACAGTTTTTGTTAGCCTTGTGCTTGGAACGTTTTAAAGAGGAACACATTTAATTCATAGTCTGAGGAACGCTTTACTTCATATTGCCTGATTCTTACATTTGTATTGTAACCTGGGGACAGATTTATTTCCTTAGTCCATTTTGTTGCATAGAAAGAGTTCCCAGTTCAACAGCACCCTCTTCTGTGCACTTTCCTCTACGGATCATGTTGTGGATGGTTATGGGGGCGGGCAGGCGGGGGTGGGGGGGTAGATGGAGGAGTGTGTCAAGTCTTGTTTTTCTTCATTTATGCCAGATCCTTATTCCCCCACCCTTATATATGCCCCTTCTTTCTTAATTTTCATAAAAGTTTATTTGAGTCAAACTGATGGCAATGTTGAGAAGAGAGATCTCTGGAGAATCTCTCTCTCTCTCTCTCTCTCTCTCTCTCTCTCTCTCTCTCTCTCTCTCTCTCACACACACACACACACACACACACACACACACACTTTTAAAGGAATTTCTTTACTTCCTGTGTTTCCAGTCCTTCTTTCTCCTCTAGATTCAAGTTCACACAGTACTGGAGAAGGGTATTCGATGTCCTCCTCTCTCTTCCTTGCCTCGTCTCCCAGGGGTACCACTCCTTCCCTTCTCTGCTTATGATTCTCCCTGAGAAGCCAAGACTCCTGAGACGGACACTTCTGGTTGCACACACTTCTCGAGTCCCGAGAACCACAGGGATTCAGGATTGTGGCATCGATAGCTCCATTTCTCTCTCTGGGGGTGACTATTTGTACTTGGAGTTGCCCTGTTTCCTAGTTCTTCTCCAGCATCGGAAGCCCCTCCTGCTCTGCTCTTTTGAGTTCCAGGTCCCAGTGGCCGGCGACCTGCAGGGCTTTGTCTGGTTGTTTAAACACATTTTTGTAAGAGCCTGCAGGCTGCGGTGCTCTGTCACACAGTCCCATTGAAGGTATGGGTTCGGTCTTTTTGTGTTTGTAGTGGCTTTGTGTTTTCCGCGGAGATAATGTTCGGGAGATTCAAAGCCAGGTGATGCCACTGATCTCTACCCATGTTCTCTTAAATTTCTGCTCTGATTATTTTGTTTGTTATCTGTATATCTGTTTTATGATAATGTCATTGTATTTGTTTTGTTGTATGCTTCCTAAAATTCTTTGAAGAATGATGCAAAGTGAAAATAAATTTTTACTTGTAAAGAAAGATTTACTGATTGATTTGAGAGAGGAAAGGGGAGAAAGAGAAACATTGGTTTGTTGTTTCACTTATTTGTGCAGTCATTGGTTACTTCCTGTATCTGCCCTGACCAGTGATCAAACCTGAAACCTTGGTGAATCAGAATAACGGTCTAACCAACTGAGCTACCCAGTCAGGGCCTATATTTTTACTTTTTATTTAAAAAAATAAATGAAAAAAATGCTCTGCCTTACAAAGTTATTTATTGCTTGTTTCTTTTTATCTTTAATAATATGAAGTATGAGTAACAGATGAAAAGGGAAAAATGTAAGAGAAAGAAAAGAATGGAAAAGTAATGAGAATGATCATTTCAGCCCATAAATATCTGGTTTTGAAAGTAATTTGAGAGAAGTTTTATCATTTCTTTGAGCAGTAAGTAACAGTCCTTCAGGACAGTTACAGCCTCTGTTGCTCACATCCATCAGCTCTAGGATGTTATACAGCATCACTGCTTTACAACTATACCTCAGATGTTTACACACACACATACACACACAACACATATAGACAATACATGCACTTACTTGTTTCACATTCTGGAGTTCTTCTGTCAATTGTTTCCTTTGCCTTTCTGATTCAAATAATTTTTCCTGTATTGAAAATACCACTAAATTAATTTTTCCTGTATTTAAAATACCACTTGTTATAAAGATATGAATAGGTATCATTCTTAGAGCTTTGTTTTGAAGTTTATAAAGTCCCCAAATAGCCAACGGCTACAATCTGAAAATGTAGTTCCATCATTTTTCTGGCTATATACTATATAAAAGTAATTAGTTATTTAAAGCAGAATTGTGATGAAAATGTATTTTCTCTTTAGCCATTTTTGTAAAGTCTCAGAATCTGAGGTCCAAAGTAAATCAATCAGGTTCAAAATATGTAAATATTAACTAAATTTTGGGTAATAACTATCATTGTCAAAGAGCTTCCAAACTAAAGGGCGTTATTATAATTCAGAAGTCTCACTCTATTAAAGAGGACACAAAACTGAGTTGAATTCCTAATTTAGCTTATTCTTGGAAGATCATCCATAAAAATTAAGATATGACTGGTGTAACCAAAATATGAAATGGTAGTTCTTAAAACAGAATATCACGCATGCAAATCAAATATCATCTTTGAACTCAAAATTAAGTTGTATACCTAAAAATGTTCACTTTTAAGTATATCATAAAAAAGTCCACATTTTATTGATTAAATCAGATATACTAAGAATAATTTAGGAACCATTTTACTCTAAACTTGATCAGGAATTGCTTGGAGATTAAACCGAGTAGTAAATGATCCTGGCAACACTGCCATGTTTGTAAGAAATGATCTGCTTTGTGGAGTATTTCAGCTCATCCCCGTCTAAGAGATCAAGTGAAGGTATCTGGAGATGAATAGACTGTAGCGATCTTATGCATCTGCCACAGACCAGGAGCCAAAAGACTGCTGGCTGCCATGCTTTCATGCTCTGGCAAGTCACCTTCACTCTTTCTGTCCTAGTTTTTTGCATCTGCAAATGGGAAATATATCCATTTCCATTCAGCTTTGCAAAGCAGTACCAATGTGAACTCTGCACAAAGGCTTAAAATTAAATAAAGACCATCACACTTTAAAAAATCATTCTTACAAAATAAAATTAGACATTAGCATCAAATTCTCTTGGTTTCATTTTTGTTTGTACCTTAAATCAGACATAAAGATTAGAGATGGCACAGGATAATGAGAAGCAGAGACTACTCACACAATCTATAAACTTCATTTACAATGTCTCTTTGTGTGTGTATAATTAAGTAGAATAACTGTAAGTATAAACAATATTTTATTGAAAATAAAATATTTATTGCTGTATATACTCTTTTTATATAGCTAAACAAGTGGTTCTCAGCCAATAGATAGGTTTTGAGTAAATGAAATTTCACACTAGGATATGTTCAGTTATATTTCATAAAGCTTAAATATGAATTCTGATTTATTGAACAGCTCCTCAGAGGAGCTTATTTAAATGTTACATGAGTATAGTTTTAAATTCTAATTCTAACAATTAAGTTTGATAATCACTGAATATATCACTAAATTTAGCAATGATAAGCATTAGGGAATGAAAAAGATCTGAGAGCCTCTGGACATTTTGATGAACCATAAATTTAATGGTTTATGCCGAGACCAATTTTATAAAAATGTTATTTTACCAAGACAACCAATAGGGGAGATATTTTCTAAAAGGATGTATGAAAACTAGTGTCAATCTATTTTTAAAACTAAATTTATTGCTTAAACCGGTTTGGCTCAGTGGATAGAGCGTCGGTCTGCAGACTGAAAGGTCCCAGGTTTGATTCCGGTCAAGGGCATGTACCTTGGTTGCGGGCACATCCCTAGTAGGGGGTGTGCAGGAGGCAGCTGGTCGATGTTTCTCTCTCATCGACGTTTATAGCTTTCTATCCCTCTCCCTTCCTCTCTGTGGAAAATCAATAAAATATATTTTTTTAAAAAGACTAAATTTATAACTCTTGTTATACCAGAAAATGTAGAAAAACAATGGTTTTAAATTACAATAAAAAGTAAAGGAAATAGTTTTTGTAATGCTCACATACACTTGGAAGAAACATGAATTGCTAAAGCGTGGATAGAAAATTTGGTAACATATATAAAATTTTAATAAGTCTGTATCCTTTGAGAAAAAAATTTCACTTTCAATAACTTATTCAATTTGTACTTTTATAACTGCACAATCATGCAAAGATACATCTATAATGATATTTATGATGGAATTAATTTTAATAATGGAAAACTTAAAATAGCCTAACTATTCATCATTAAGAAACTGGCTAACATAAGACAGAAGAACCATGTGATGATAGGGGAGCCAATAAAAATAATTTGGCATATCTGTATATATTAATTGGGAAAGTAGTCCAACTTATGTTGACAAAGAGAATAAAGAAGGCAAGTTGTAAAAGAGTGTATTTTGTGTTAAATAATTTTTAAAAAATATGTTTTGTAAATATTAATATACTTGTATATTAATATATTAAACATATATTTATATATACTTTATGTACAGTTAATATATTTTTTTATATAGGGCAACCCCCAAAATGTGTACACATACATTTTTGACAGCTCAACTGATAGTTCCTTCTTTTCAGATTTAATCCATTGGAATTAATAATTATTTAAAGTGTGTATATTTTTTGGGGGGATACCTAAACAAACATTCCTTTTATAGAAATACAGATAGCCATCTAGACAAAGTCTACAAAAGGATATACAAGCTATGTTTAACAATAGTTTCCTCTAGAGGTTGAAATTTAGAAATTAAGGTAGCAAGGGAATTTCTTTTTTTTTTTTTTTTATTGTCTAAAGTTTTACATATCGGTAGCAAGGGAATTTCTGTTTATGGGTTTAATGATTTTACTTTAATAAAAATTAAATAAACAATAGTTTCACTTATTTAAGGAAATACTTTAAAATAATATGACTCCTTGACTTACTATGTTGACTTAATAGTAAATCAAGGAGTTATATTGCTTTTCTTGGAGATTTAAAAACTATAATGGCTTTCTATAAAAATTAGGATATAATTGAAACTTAATATTCTATTAAACACAGAATGAAAAAGTATAAAGAGAATAAAAATCTTAATGTATATTTGGGATATATTGTATGGTTTTTCTTTCCTCAAATCATACTGCCTTTATTCCAAGTTAGGTTAGCATACCAAGGTGTCCCAGAAGCATGCCCAGGACCAGGGGAGAAAATGTATTTCCCAATGAACATCTGAGGCCCCAAATTGTCATGGCATGCTTTGTTGGCTCCTCATCCTTGCCACCAATGTGAGAAAAAAGAAAAAGGGTGAGAAGTAGCCACATCAGAAGTTACAAGTAAAAACCACTGTTCACGCTGAATCTTACGTATACTATAAAATATAAATTAAAAAGTTTGTATGAACTAAAAAATTAACTCTCTAAAGATCAATTGGAGAAGTATCAATTATGACATTAATATTCAATATTGACCAAAATTGATATAAAGCGATGTCACATTAACATTCATTAATTAAAAATAAAACTAAGCCCCAATATTTCAGAATTCAACACAATATAATTTCCTTTTTCTTTTTTCTAAAGAAAATGTAAGAAAGCTAAATTGGAGATTACCTTAAGTGCATTCACTTCTTCTAAGGCATCATTTCTTTCACGCTTAAGCCTTTCCACTTCATCTGCTTCTAAGGAATCACAGGCAATAAACTGTCAACATTAAAATATAAGAAAAAGTCACATGTTGCATACTAATTATGAGAACTAACACAGAAATCCCTTTTGACAAAGCTTAGGAGTCATTTGATTGGGCAAAAGAGAATGTTAACATAATCTGGGGTAACTTTACCCATTTATATTATACTTAATCTTACGTTGTTATAACAGAATTTAGATGATGATCAGATATACATACTCTGTTGTCATCTTTATGATTCTTATTTAACAATATAATTTTCCTTAAAAGTCCAAATCCCAAGAGTGTGTTTAAAATATTAAAACAACTTCATGAGCTATCAACATAAACTATTCCCTAAAGACATCTGCTCCAAGCAAGCACTTAGTCTCCCATGCTAACAAAATACTAAGCATTATTGACAAGATTGTTTACCTAAACCCAGTAAAGTACATTAATTGAGCTTGTGTCTTGCTTTAATTAAACACAATGTAACATAACAGTCAAGTGGCTTAAAAAGATTTCTGCACAGAAACTGTGTCTTAAAGATAATATTAATAATTCATGCGCAAGTGAAAAACAACAACAAAAAATAGCAAAGCTGACAATCTCTCTTACAGATAACTGCAAGGCAGAAAACAAGGACAATCTTAGAGAAATACCGAACTTGGAAAAATTAACTTTTCTGCCGTGTTCCAACAACCTTTATATGCTAATGTGCATTCTGAACATCCCAAAAGGAAATATAATTTAATAACTGGTTGCATTTCCTCAAGTTATCTGACCATACTACACCCCCTCCTCAATTTATTTATTTTTCTACATTTGGACCCTTTGTCCCCTACCTAGACTATCTACCACCAGTTTCATCCTCTTCTGAGATAACCAACACGATTATAAGATCATTATTTCTAAAAGGTCACTTTGGTGATGTCTCTGTTCTTAAGTTTAATATTTATCCTTTCAGGCCCAACTTCCTTTACTGTCCTGCATGTACTAGACTGTCTTTTTAAAAAGTAGATCATTCTCTTCTTACTATCACATTATATATAATTGTTTTTGTTCATGCAGGTACTCTCACACTTCTCTGTTCACCTCTTGAGAGATAAAATCCTATTTATCATTCAAAACTCACTCAAATGCCAACTCTGTCATGAATCTTCTCTGAATGTTCAAAGCTCTTTTATTATTATGGCCTCATCATACAAAGCATTCTTAAGATGTTTTTCTAACTGAATTTTTTAGAGAGAGAGAAAAAAAATCAACCTGTGAGAGAGAGAGAAACATTGATTGGCTGACTCCTGCATGCCCCCTACTGGGGATCAAGCCCAAAACCTGTGCATGTGTCCTGACCTGGAATAGAACCAGTGACCTTTTGGTGCACGGGACTACACTCAACCAACTGAGCCACACTGGTCAGGGCTCATACAATGCATTTTTATTTTTATCATTTAGTATTTATCCTCACCAGAGGATATTTTTTCATTAAATTTTTAGAGAGAATGGAAGGAAGAGACAGAGAAAGAAACATCAATGTGAGAGATACACATGGATTGATTGCCTCCTGTATGCCCCTGATGATGGCTGGGGATTTAGCCTGTGACCGAGGCACGTGCCCTTGACCGTAATCAAACCTGGACCCTTCAGTCCATAGGCTGATACTTTATCCACTGAACCAAACTGGCTAGGGCACAATACATTTTTAAAAAATAATTATTTGTGTATATATATTTCCTTACACTATACCTTAATTTCTTGAGGGACAAGCTGGAGTTTTACTGGTCTTTTTTTTTTTCAATTACAAATTAAATTTTATTTCTATTATTTTGTATTAGTTTCATGTTACAACATAATGATTAGAGTTTTATTTATCTTAAACATGCACCAAAGCACCTAACACAATGCCATGCACATTGTACTTATTCAACATATATTTAATATTTTACTGATTAGTATACATTGAAGTGGCTATAAAATATTTACTACTACACATAGTGAGAATAACATTTATATCATGAGCCCATATCATTCTATTTTCCATTCAAATGGTATTTTCCATTCTATTCTACTTCACTTTTTGAAAATGGTGGTTGCAATCCATTAAATTGACTTAGCAAGAAGCTAAATTTTGAAACATCTACATTAGGGAATTTAGCATATTCTCTCTGTGATTTTAAGGTAATCTGTTTATGGTACTTAATTAATGTGGTAAACCCATTATATCAAGGGGAGCTAGTTTGTTCCAAACTTCCCTTTTCTGTGTGTAACTCTGGACCAGCAGCAGGTGTAGCAATATGTAAATTTTTTAATAAACCAATGATACTTAGAACAACAGTAAGATAATTATATTTTTGGTTCTAAAGGCCCTATTATTCTCAAACCCAATGTTTTTTGTCAACTAAACAAAAGTAGGACTGACTTATAATGACTCAGCAATTCTCCTTCCTAAAATACAGTAATATCTTAAGAAATCTTTTGAGTCAGACAAAATGATAAGCTAGTTCCAAAAGAATACATATTGCATGCTTCTACTTATGAGGTTCAAGAATAGGGGAAAGTAATCTATGCTGATAAAAATCAAACAAGTGGTTTGTTCCATTGTGAAAGTGGGAGCCACAGTGGACTGGAAAGTTGGCACGAAGGAGCCTTTTGAGTGGTGATTACACATGAGATGCGAACATAAATTCATCAAGTTGTACAACTGTGAGTTTTGTACTTTACTGTGTGTCCATCAGGCACTAGTAAAAATATTTTAAAGAAACAAATCAAGAAAAAAGACAATCCAGAAAATGAACACACGTGAGTAAACAAAGCAAAAAGCATCCCTAACAGATGGATCGTAAAATCTGATTTCCTTTTTTGTGACAAAATGGCTGAGGGGGTAACCATGGTGGAATTTCCCCACCTTTACAGACTGTCTGCATCCTAACCACAGATTGATTGATAAACTTCAGATAAGGTATTTCGCTGTTGTTTTTTTTACTCAAAAAACAATATACAACAAAGTAATGAAAAAGTTTTTGTTTCTGCTGAGCTGCTTGATAAGCAATGGTTTTGTTTGTTTGTTTTTAAATATATTTTATTGATTTTTTTACAGAGAGGAAGGGAGAGGGATAGTTAGAAACATCAATGAGAGAGAAACATCAATCAGCCACCTCCTGCACACTCCCTACTGGGAATGGGCCCACAACCAAGGTACATGCCCTTGACCGGAATCAAACCTGGGACCTTTCAGTCCACAAACCAATGCTCTATCCACTGAGCCAAACCAGTTAGGACAAGCAATGGTCTTTACAGTATTTTTTTAAAAAAATATTGTTATTGTTGATACATGTCCATGGGTCATGCATATAAATGTGTAAATTCTTTGGTTTATCTCCTCGCCCAACCCCCATCCTCACCCCACACACACACACACACACACACACACACACACACACGCACAATGGGATATGTCAGTCTATTCCATGCCTCCATGCTTTGGGCCTTATTATTGGTCAATTCATATTGTTCATTAGATTTCACAAATAAGTGAAATCCTGTGATATTTGTCTTTCTCATATGGGTTATTTCACTTATAGCATAATATATTCCAGGTCCATCCATGCTGCCCAAAGGATTTTTATACTATTTTCCAAATTATGGTACAAACTCATTAGTGAATTGTGGGACCAAAAATTTAATCAAATGGAACTGAATATTAAATAAGAATGCCATGAAAAAGTAAGTGATGCTGTGAGACGTTTGTTTCAAGTTTGCATGTGGGTATGGTGAAGTAAAATGCATTCCTTTGTGGATATCTGAGGAAAAAACTGAAAAGCCAACATTTAATGGGGATATCTTCTGTATGCTGAAAAGTACAATACAACAAAGGAAAGCTTATAAATTAATACAACGGCTATTGTCCAACCTTTGATCTGAAGCTACAAACAGTAAATGGCTGGTCTACAGAAGACCTTGCACAATTACCATGAGCATGTTGGTTTTGCTGTCAAAGTATCACAGACTGAATACATGTTTATCTGCCCTAAAATCGCACTGATAAGAAGGAGGTAAATTACTAATTTGGAGCGTGACCATTTCTTTGCAGCTGCGAGGAAAACTCTGCATGCTCACGCGAAGAACTCTGAATTCCCCATGTCATCTACGTGCCTTTTCTCAGCAAATGTGGGTGCTGTAGCTTTGAGAGCTATTTGGCAGAAAGAAAACAGTGGAGGAGATCAAGACAAAATGTTATTTTTGATTTTAAATTAATCCATATTTTGTAAATTTATCCAAGAACCATGTATTATTTGTATAGCTTACAAACAAACAAACAAACAAAAAAACAACCAGTGAAACCATAACTGGTCTGACTCAATGGATAGAGCGTCGGCCTGCAGAGTGAAGGGTCCTGGGTTCGATTCCAGTGAAGGGCACATGCCCAGGTTGGGGTGCAATCCTCCATAAGGAGCATGCAGGAGGCAGACAATCAATGATTCTCTCTTGTCATTGATGTTTCTATCTCTCTCTCCCTCTCCTTCCTCTCTGAAATCAATACAAATATATTTAAAGACGACAACAGCAACAACAAACAATGAAAGTGAAAAGAAGCCCACAGACATGACCCATAACATTGAGGACAAGACAATCAAGACAGTTCTGTAAGGAACACTCTACCTGTGAGTCTAATATGCTGGACATTTCACGCGCACCAACATTTACTTCATCCAACTGCAAGCAAAACAAGTTTCGGGCAACCTGGACAAAATCTAAAATGGAACACATTTCAGTAAGAAAATATTTAACCTAATCTAAATATCGCTTATTTTCTATAGGAAGTTGAAGCTATGTGTTATAACAAAGTTGCCTTAAAATGATATTAACTGAAGGGACAGATCAATACAAGTTCAAATAAAAAGAAAGAAACTGGTTTTAACTTCCTTTAACTTTGGTGAAGTCAGTAAGTACATCAGTTAAGATAATCATAGAGCAAATGTATATCAATGGCATATCTATTCCTCCAACCCTTAAATTAGGATTAGAACCTTTTCTGAAACATAGGACAGTATCATGATTTAGTTTTTCTAACTGGAAGAACCTGAGGTCTAATAATACTATCGGCAGCTAATGTTTACGTAAAGCCTCTATATGCTAGGACAGGGGCTTTGCAATTTCACCCTCAGAATTTTCAAGGTGGGTTCTCTTATCCTCTCAATTTGCCAGTCTGGAGCTAAGACAAGTGAACTGTCTAAAACCCCGAGGCCGGCCCTTTCCAGCTCCTCCACGCCTGCCTCAGCCCGCTCCTCGGCTGTCAAAAATGGTGAAAGAAACTACTTACTATGATGTTTTGGGGGTCAAGCCCAATGCCACCCAGGAAGAACTGAAAAAGGCTTATAGGAAGCTGGCCTTAAAGTACCACCCTGATAAGAATCCAAATGAAGGAGAGAAGTTTAAACAGATTTCTCAAGCTTACGAAGTGCTCTCTGATGCAAAGAAAAGGGAATTATATGACAAAGGAAGAGAACAAGCAATTAAGGAAGGTGGAGCAGGTGGTGGTTTTGGTTCCCCTTGGACATCTTTGATATGTTTTTTGGAGGAGGAGGAAGGATGCAGAGAGAAAGGAGAGGTTGTACATCAGCTCTCCGTAACCTTAGAAGACATATAATGGTGCAACAAGAAAACTAGCTCTACAAAAGAATGTGATTTGTGACAAAAGTGAAGGCCGAGGTGGTAAGAAAGGAGCAGTAGAGTGCTGTCCCAATTGCCGAGGTACTGGAATGGAAATAAGAATTCATCAGATAGGCCCTGGAATGGCTCAGCAAATTCAGTCTGGGTGCATGGAGTGCCAGGGCCATGGGTAAAGATAGATGTAAAAGCTGCAACGAAAGGAAGATAGCTCAAGAGAAGAAGATTCTAGAAGTTCATATTGATAAAGGCATGAAAGATGGCCAGAAGATAACATTCCATGGTGAAGGAGACCAGGAACCAGGGCTGGAGCCAGGAGATATTATCATTGTTTTAGGTCAGAAGGACCATGCTGTTTTCACTCGACGACGAGGAAAAGACCTTTTCATGTGTATGGACATACAGCTGGTTGAAGCATTGTGTGACTTCCAAAAGCCAATAGCTACTCTTGACAACCGAACTCTAGTCATCACCTCTCATCCAGGTCAGATTGTCAAGCATGGAGATATCAAGTGTGTATTAAATGAAGGCATGCCAATTTATCGTAGACCTTATGAGAATAGTCGCCTAATCATCGAATGTAAGGTAAACTTTCCTGAGAATGGCTTTCTCTCTCCTGATAAACTCTCTTTGCTGGAAAAACTCCTACCTGAAAGGAAGGAAGTAGAAGAGACTGATGAAATGGACCAGGTAGAACTGGTAGACTTTGATCAAATCAAGAAAGATGGCGCCATTACAATGGAAAAGCATATGAGGATGATGAACATCAACCTAGGGGTGGTGTTCAGTGTCAGACCTCTTAATGGGGCCAGTGAATAAAACTCAATGCTGGCATTTTATATACTGTAGTGAATGAGTGAAGGACTGTAACCATGATATGCTCACTACTTGCTATTGTTTTTGTTTTAATATTCAAGTATGGTAGTGTTTTAAAAGTTAAATGAAGAATAAACTCAAATATAAATAAAATAAAATAAAATAAAATAAAATAAAATAAAATAAAATAAATAAAACCCCGAGGCCACTCGACAAGTAAGTAGCAGAACTGGATTCCATCTAAGGTCTGACTCAGAGGCACATCCTCCTCTGAGGTTACCCAGCACTGCAGATGCTTCTTTAGACATGGAGCGTGGACTATTCATCTACCTACCCTCACACATCTTTATTTTGACTGCGACTTAGTTTCCAAGGATTCTTTTAAAGTTGTTCTTAATAACAGTATCCTACTCTTATTTCATGGATGGCTTATCTTTGCTTATCTTTTTAAATATGCTAATTATGGTTTATCTGAAGTTTTCTTCTGCTCTTGCAATATTTCCCCTTTTTTGAATTCCTTTCTTTTTTCTATTTGTCCAATACTGCTGGTCAGGAATTCTAGCTGAGTTTTTCAGAGTATTGATTGGGAGGAATTTGAAATAAATGTGGCCTTTTTTTCCCCCCTCTCCTTCTAAAGAGGAACTCAATAAAAATGAGTCACAAGAACCCTTTAGATAAGTTTCTGTGATGATATAACACAGCGATTTTCAACCTTTTTCATCTCATGGCACACATAAAGTAATTATTAAAATCCTGTGGCACACCAAATTTTTGGTGTTCTGACAAAAAAAAAAAAAAAAAAGGTATAATATTGATTCATTCACACCGTCGGCTACTATGTTGGCTGTTGTCATTTTTTAATTTGACAATCTAAGAGAAAAGAGGTCAGGCCCATGACCAAATAGTCAGGTATTGTGTGTTTTAAAAAATGTCTTGGCACCCCGGTTGAAAATTGCTGAATTAACACAATGTACCTAATATTACCTCCAAAAGACACTGTCCCCTGTGGGTCTACTGCCACTTGCTGTCTCAGGGCTTGGTGTTGTTCCTTTGTGGGCTGAATACCAAGATAATTTAGAGCCTGGAAAGAAAAGGACTCGTGTGAGGCAATTTTCAAATCTCCACAGAATAAAACTCTTCATTAGAACTTTATTTCACAATCCAGAGAAAAGAATCAATATCAGCAACAGTGACCAGAATTAGATGTACAAAGAAAGTCTGCTGACTACGGATTAATTTTCTATAAAATATTAGCTTCCAGATTCCACAGACATCTCAACTGTTCCCCCCTCCCAAGGCTAACACTTTAGCTGATCCTAAATTTATAAACATAGTCCTAGAAGCCAAACTGACTCTCTCCTAGTTTAAAATATGTGATATGGCAGGAGAAAAACAGCAAGTAAATCTTATGAAATCTAATTTAACATGAATTTCTACAAGTAGCACTCTAAAGCATAGATATTTTGTTAGTAGCTTGTAAATTTGAGAAAAAAAATAGTCGATGAAAACTGGCCTGGCCAGTGTGGCTCAGTGATAGAACCAGGAGGTTATGGTTCGATCCCGGTTAGGGCACATGCCAGAGGCCAGGATTGTGGGCTCAGTCCCCAGTGTGAGGCATGCAGGAGGCAGCCGATCAAAGATTCTCTGTCATCATTGATGTTTCTCTCTCTCTCTCCCTCTCCCTTCCTCTCTGAAATCAATCAAAATATATTTAAAAAAATAAAGTTGATGAAAACTGAATTACATACAAAATATTCTATTTTTTAGCTTGTTTATGAGCAGACTTACATAAATAGTAAACTAAAAAGCTTTCTCTAAAAAGCTTCTCTCTACCTCCTCCTTTTAGCAACCATAGCTGATTAAAAATTCAGAGATTGTTAGTTGTACTCCAATGTCTATTCTCTCCTTGTTCCTTAGTAACAGAATGGCAATATTTAGCTAGAAATACTGTCATCCAGATAAAAGATATCCCTGTTTTGCAGCTTGATGAGGCCATGTGACTATGTGCAGGCCAACGAGATATAAGGAGAAATGCTATAAGGACCTTCTGGGGAGTCTTTCAGAAGTAGTGGTAGGCACTTTCTGTCCCCTTTCCTCCTCTTTTTGGCCTTAAATAAAAGAAAACAAAAAGGAAGTTGAATGGGAGGGAGGGGAAGACAATGGTTGGTTTCTAAAATTCAAAAGGTCATTCTGGTTCATGAGCAACCTCAATAAAGATGAGGGAGCAGAAAGACGATAGTTGGGACATGGGACCCCAACACTGTGGACTTCCAGGCCAGTCCTGGATTACCTTCTTCCAGATTTCTTTTAGGTCTGAGAAAAGTACATTTCTAATGGAGACCACTGTATTTTATAGCAAATTCTAACCTTAACTGATGCATAGGACCCGATTGATGCCCTATTGTTGAATTCGGGCAAGAACGTATTCTATGTTAATCATATCAAAACTAAAATATAGGCAAAGTTTAATATTGGCAATAGTCCTTTATTAATGTCTTCCTCCTTTGGAATCTGTTCATTCATTCATTTCATTTACAAAATATTTACTTAGTGCTTACTCTAATTTGTCAGGCAAAGGGACACCCAAACAAGATATAGCTGCTGGTATGATCTTTAATTTAATTACACATATAAATAAGTGTAATTATTGCAATATTTAATTTAATAGAAGTGTGTACAGAATCTACTATGGCCACAACAAACTGGTGACTGCACAGGTGGCTGGACATAGTGAAGGAGGAAGACAGGAGAAAGGAGAACATCTGGAAAGATTCCTTTAAAAGTGACTCTAGGGCTTAGTCTAACATTATCTTCCCACCCTGTCTACACACTTATAAATATTTGCCTGGAATGACATGGAATAATGATTCTTAACTTTTGGTGTTCTTTGCCTCCAGACATAAAAATGTTCCAAATAAAAGGAAAGAAAATAATACAAAGAACACTTATGTATTTGCTATCACTAACTACTCATTAATATTTATTTGAAATTTATATATATTTTAAATAAATTTATTGGAGTGACCTTGGTTAATAAGGGCATACAGGTTGCAAGTGTACATTTCTATGACATATGTTTTTAAGAAATAAACCTCAATGACTTAGTTGAAGACTTCTCCATTGTTCCTCAACAGGATACAACTAAGGTTGGTGTAGCCTTTTTGTCCATGATTCGATGCCATTAATTCATGTATCCCCTAATAATATGTACTCTTATGCAATTGAAATTGTACATGAATAGTATAGTATTATATAAAAGGATAATCTTACCAATTATTTTTATATCAATGTTATGATTTCATAATTGCTCAATATTGTTTGCAAAATTAATTCAATTATTTTAACTTGAAATGGTATCTAACTGTATGAATATATTGTAATTTATCACCCATTCCTTGATTGATGGGCTTTTGGAAAAAATTTTTTTTTTTATTGATTTCAGGGAGAAAGGGAGAGGAGAGAGAAACATCAATGATGAGAATCATTAATCAGCTGCCTCCTGCACGCCCCCTACTGGGGATAGAGCACGCAAATCAGGCATGTGCCCTAACCTAGAATTGAACTGTGACCTCCTGGTTCATAAGTCCATGCTCAACTGCTGAGCCACACCAGCCTGGTTGATGGGCTTTTATATTTACCTCAATTTGGTTCTTATTACAAGCCATTATATATATCTCCTTGTATAGCTGTGTGAAAATTTCTCTATAGTATATCTCTAGAAGAGGAAATGTGTTTATAAAGTCATAGGGTTTATAAAGTCAACTTTAATAGATATTGTAAAGTAACTCTACATATTGGTTGTACCAAGCAATTTATGCACACAACTAGGACATAAGTACTCCTATTTTCTACATTCTTTGTAGCATTTTATGTTTTCACACTTCAATTTTTGTCAATGTGTTGTATATGAAATATAGTGTATTAATTTGAATTTACCTAATTAAAGTGATATTAGTCTTTTCCATGTTGATTAGCAATATTTTATATCAGAAGTTACTTAGCAATATGTTTTAAATTTTGATATACAGAGTTTTAAGATGTAATTTTTGTTAGTGATTCCTAATTTTTATGAAAACCAAAAATATCTACAGACATTGCCAAATGTCCCCCAAGGCAAATTTCCATATTCCTGTCCTTGAAAAACACTGCTCCAGGGACCAACACTATTAACAGTTTGATGTACTAGTGTAAGTTTTCTGATTTTTTGCTATGGACATAGCACCTATATATAAATATATATGTAAATTATGTATTTTAAAATAATTAAATTATACTATATAGAGTGTTCTGTCTTTTTAAAAAACTATCAACATATCACAGCTTTCTGTTCTGTAGATTTTAGATCTTTTGCATGCTTTTTAAAATTGCTATAGTAGTATATTAAAGCTTAGCATTGAAGTATATTTAGATCAGATTATGAATTTAACAAAACATTGCAAAAGGCCCTTCTGAACTTCTCCGCATAGATAACAGCTGTCATACATTTGGTTTAATATTCCCATTTTATTATATAATATTTGATGTTTACTAAAAACATATATTGTATGTAACATACATTTTAAATCAAGACAATAAAATAAAACATCATTGAATCCACTTTAGGATTACAAAACTGCCAATACTAAAATTCCCAGATTATTTTAAGTGGCTTGTCACATATACATATTCCTAATGTTATTTTGTTTTGCTGTTTTTAAGCCTCATAAAAATGCTGCCAGATCGCCTTCTGAAACTTGAATTTTTCATCCTGCAATATGGTTTTATTATTCATCCATGTGGTTACATGCTCTTGTGACATTAATGCATTCACTTTTACTGACAAATGTAATACTTAATTATATCATTGTGCCACAATTTATTCGCCCATCCTCCTGAAGGTGGGCCGTGGGCTTTCTGCTTACCAGGAATGCAGCAGTGAACATTCTTGTACCTATCTACCACAGTTCATGGGTAAAAATTCCTTTAGGCCAGTGGTCGGCAAACTCATTAGTCAACAGAGCAGCAAACTGTGGCTCTCGAGCCACATGTGGCTCACAAGCCGCAGTTTGCCGACCACTGCTTTAGACTGAATACCAAGGAGTAGTGCTGATGGGTCATTTTCTGATTGGTTTGTAGAATTCTTTGTATATTTAGCATTTTATATGTTATACATCTGATTGGTTTGTAGAATTCTTTGTATATTTAGCATTTTTTATGTTATAGATGTTACACATATTTTCTCCCAGTTTTTGGCATAACTTTTCACTTTTTAATATTCTCATCTTATGGAGTTTCTATGGACAATCCCAGACATGTTTTTACACCATTACTTTACATTTTTAAGTAAACAATGTGAATAGTTTAAAAAAATATTTTTAAGGATGTGATTTTCTGTTTTATAAATAGTAGATTTATTGATATTTAATTCACATCTCATAAAATTCACCATTTTAGTATATAGTTAAGAGGCTTTTAGTATTTTCACAAAGTTATGCATCAATCCTCACTAATTCTAGTAAATTTCCATCACCTCCCAAAGGAAGTCCCATCCCAATAGCAGGCACTTCCTAGATCCCTACCTTCCCTTGCCCCCCACTCCAGGAAACCACTAATCTATTTTCTGTATGTATGGATTTGCCTATTCTGGGCATTTCATACAAACAGAATCATATAATTTGTGGCTTTTTGTGTCTAGCTTATTTCACTTAACTTCATGTTTCAAGGTTTATCTATGTTGTATCATGTATCAGGAAGAAACACAGGCAATTTTAAAAGTTCACATTCTTAGCTGGTGGTGAATACATGTGTTGATTATTCTTTCAACTGCACATGTATAATGTAATCATTGTGTATATAATTGATATTGTAAAGATATAAAAACAATTTTATAAAAATAATGCAAATAAGACACCTATCACAGAAGGTACTCAATATATGGTGATTCTTATATCAAGTAATATTAAAGTTGCAAAATGCAATTAACCACAGTGTAAATTGACCTAGAGCTAAACTTAGTATAGGTGAAAGTTTTGTTGAATGTGAATTTATTCTAGATGAATATAGCACGTCAGTGAGGCAAGCTCATGAATTTAAATTGCAAGTAATTTATGTTTAATCATAAAATAGGTTCTAATAATTTATTGAATGTCATCTTTTAGCCTTAAAAATGTATTAATTGGACAATATCTGTCCTTAACTTTTTATGGTGTCTGGATGATGAATTTTAAAAAATGTCACTTCTGTACAATACTAGTCACATACTTCCCAGCCTAATAACAAAGAACATCTCATTAACGATTACCAGACATCGGGTACGCATTGCTCACTACAGCTTTCTTCAAATGTTACAGAAATGGCAAGAGGTAAAGTAAATACCAGCGAAATGGCATCTGTATCCAAAAGCATCTTTCCCAGGTACAAAAATAGGGATAGCAACTAATAAACTATAACTCTATTTGATATGTTTACCATACCTGCTGGTAAGTTTAACGTTAGGAACAGAGGAGACATATAGTACTTATAAAACTACTTTGAAAAAACATATCACTAACTCTGGTGAAATTATTTAAAAATATCTGGATAAAAAAATCATTAGTAGAATATTCATGGCAAAAGGCAATCATTTTTTTCTCAGACAGTGAATTAAAATAAAATGAATTTAATGTTAGAAATCACTTCCGGGAGATACTGATTTAAAATCATCAACTTAGACAAGAAAAACAAAGAGAATTCCCTGAGGACATTGTCATTTATACATGTCTTGATGGTATTGCCTTTCATCAAATTCCAAACTCTCTACCTTTCTTAAAAATTGCACCAAGTAGGGTAATTAATATCCACATAATCAGTCAACAATTTCTTCTTGTGAAATCTTAGCACAGCACACATTTTCTAGATACTATATACACTATATTTATAGAAGTTAAAGAAAGATATAATTTTAATATATTTTAAATACTTGATCACTTTTTCCTTATCTATCACTGAATAGAAAATACGTTAAAAATTTAGTGGATGATAAAGTTGAATTTGTCTACAAAGTAGCAACTATAATAGAAGGACCTATTTTAAATGAAAGTGGTACAGATATTATTATAGTAATAGCTAACTATCTAAAAAGGGAAGAGTAGTTTAGAAATATTTGGGTGAATAGATGCTAATTTGGATTTTAGGGGGGAAATTATTAAGTGAAATACAGTTTCAAACTCTGAAAATAAGTAATGCTCTACTGAATACAGTCACTAAAAATATCTTGAATGAAAGCTGGGAAGTTGAATGTGGGCTCCTTTTGCTGTAAAACTACTGTTTTAGCTTTCTAAAAAAAAAAAAAAATAATCAGTTTGCTAGGCTAAAAGGAAAACCAAAACTGGAATTCTGATTCAGTAGTCAAGTAGCTCATATTTCTCAGAATCATATTTCTAAGAAACTTACAGATTAAAAAATACATCATGCACTAGAAAACTTACATCAAGTAAAAGAATAAAGGCTGTCAGATAGTGTTTAGCTGGATAATTTTCTCCTTATCCAGATAAATGGTTAGCATTAAATCTTGAATGTTCAGAAATGTATGTTAAACCAACATCATTAAAAAACAATAATTATCCAATTTTAGATATTAATATTTTCAAACCTCAAACATTTTATTTTTTTGAAAACGTTAATAACTGGTTGTAAACTTTGCCATAAGCCAGAACTTACATCTTAACCAAAAATAGAGAGTACAAGTTAGCAAAAGATACTCAGGAGTATGAAAATATCAAAAAGACATCACAAGAGCCTGATGGATCAGAAAGTTTCATTGAGCACAAACCAGGTGTTTAACCAGTAGTAGGTACACGGGACACTGTTGTGAGGAAGCTTTAGCTCATAGGTAAAGCAAGATACAGAAAAGATGACAGGAAACCACAGTGATTTACAGATGTGCAAAATAAGGCGACATTGGCCCTCACCATAAGAGTTAGCAAAGTCTAGACGGGGGAGTTGGAGTTGAGTCAGAATTTGAATAACGGAGAAGATTCAAATTGGCATGAAAAGGGTGCTGCTCCAGGACTATGCAAAGGTATGAATATGAGAATAAGGGCAATGTGTGTTTATTCCAGATGTGCATTTCCATACTCTTCCCAAAATGTAAAACATTATTATCCACAAAACATGACAGGAAAGTAGAGGCTGTGGGCCTCTAACACTGAATCAATTTTTATATTAAAAAATAAGACATAGCACATTTTTGCTGTCAGCTCCCTAGTAACCTGACAAAAACCAGTTTTAAATGCATTTTTACTTTCAATTTTTCTTTTTACTCATCTTAAGTTCCAATCTCTCAATGTTTTACTCTCCCCAGGGCTTTTTTGTGTGCCTTTTGCATATGGCTACCATCTTCTTAATAGTCACTGATGCTTGACTATTAAGGTTCTTTAGGATTTAGCTTCCCTTTACTTTTTAAAAAATTGAACACATGGGCGTATTACTTGCACTTATTGCTCTGACATATGAAGTCTACTACATTTTGTCATAATTTAGCCCCTGTTTCCTTGGGTTCTATGTGGTAAGACATCACATTTGTCTTACACACAGAAGGAAACGGATGAATGTGAATGTCAATTTAGTGACAAGAGGTTTAATTTTTTTTTGTACTAGTGAACAACATGAACTGCCCAACTCAAACATGAGTAAGTGCATTGAAGTCCAAACTGCCATTCATTTAATAATTCCTCAAGAAACTAATGGTGCCAGGCCTTTACCCTCTCCAAGATGAGAGGCCTTCCTTGCTGCTGTTTCATGGAAGAAAAACGGACATTGAAGTATTTACCATTTCCAGTTTCTCTGCCTTAAGGCGAACGGAGGGATTGAGAGAGACCTTCTTTCCTTGTGGTCCATCATTATCAGGCCGGACAGGGGCAGCATCTGAGAGACAACAGGGTGCACACTAATTGGAAATTTAATTGGAATAGAAATGTTCATGTGACAGGATGTGTTCTGAGCTCCTGCTGTTAAAAAAAATTCTGGTTAACCAGCTGGCAGTTTCACTTTTGTTTTTGTTAAATCTAAAATGTATCACACAAGCCAGCTTCACGTGAGCCCTAAACTATTCGGTATTAAAAGAATGACCAATTTGACATTAAGTCCCAGGGAAATACTAATTAAAAAGACAAACATAAACCTACCACCACTACCCTGTCATCACAATACCTTACTAATTGTAAAATGAAAAGTCTTTTTTTTTTCTTTCCCAAATAAGTAAAAAAATCATATGAGAAATTCAAATAGATCATGATATTTCTTTGGCTGGCAAAAGTTGGTTTTGTTATGTGAGTTCTGGAAGTACTACAGAAAAAACTAAAAAATGCAGATGGTTTCCAGTTTTCACATTAATTATAATGGACTTATAACTCCTGGAACTCAAAATCCCATTTCTTCTTTTACAGAAGGTTATATTTCAAGAAGCATAAATGGACTTTCAAGGGTGGAGTTTATATACTGTTATTCTTTGGCACCTTTTCAATGAACACTGAGTACTTAGACAAGCCTTTGTCCTGGTTGCATGGATAAGAAACCAAGAGCCACCAGGACTAGGACCTGGAAAACATGATTTGTTTTAATATACCAGAGTTTGTAAAACAAATTCCTATAATTCATGGCAATCCTTGTATCTAAATTGTCACTATTCTAAATACACTTTTAAATGGTATTTTACTAGTTCTACATAAAAATGAGGAAGAGAAAAAAACTTTTTAAAATGTCACATCTTTATGCAGTGTTTTATTTTTTTATTTTTTAAATTTCTCAGAGCATCTGTCTCTAAGTACAAAATGATTTGCATTCTCTTAAGAACATAAGAAGCGCATATGAAAATAAATAGTCTTCCTCTAAACCTTTAACACATCGTTAACATTCCATGTAAAATCTTGAATATAGCTTATATGTGTCAAGATCATAAAAAAATGGCTACTGACTTTTAATTTCAAGTGGAATCAAATGCTGAGAAAGACTGATTTTCATAGAAAAGAAAATTTGCAATTCTGATAAAAGAAACAAAGTGCCCTATGTTGATGTGATACCTAATCGTTGGCCATGGGATAAAAAAATACCATATGTGTATTTTTTTCTCTTAATGCAGGTTCGGTAAACTGTGGCTTGCAAGCCACATGCGGCTCTTTGGCCCCTTGAGTGTGGCTTTTCCACAAAATACCATGTGCGGGCGTACACATACAGTGTCATCGAAACTTCCTGGCTTTCAGCTCTCAAAAGAAATTTCAATTGTTGTATTGTTGGTATTTGGCTCTGTTGACTAATGAGTTTGCTGACCACTGTCTTTTTTTTCATTTAATTTAATTTTTTATAATATATTTTATTGATTTTTCACAGAGAGGAAGAGAGAGGGATAGAGAGCCAGAAACATCGATGAGAGAGAATCATTGATCAGCTGCCTCCTGGACACCCCCCCACTGGGGATGTGCCGGCAACCAAGGTAAGTGCCCTTGACCGGAATCGAACCTGGGACCCCCCCAGTCCGCAGGCCAACGCTCTATCCACTTAGCCAAACCGGTTTCAGCTCGACCACTGTTTTAATGTAACTGCAGAACCAAGCTCCCCGTTCTCCTTGCTTGGCGCCCTACCAATAAAATAGTTTTAATTTGGCCTCAGTGTTTGGCTTTGCTGTGCATTGGACAGGCAGACCCTTGTTCGATTCGGTTCAGTTCGGTTTGGTAACATTAAGAGAAATTCTCTGCCAAACCCAAAGTGTGGCCTAAAAGAGGCGCATGGAGTGGCATGAAAGACCACATAGCAGGTAAGTCCAACTTTGTCTTTCATTTTTAAGGTTTGGACTTGTGAGGCTTAACAGTGACCTTCAGCTTGGTGCCTGACCTACCTACAGTTAAGGCACACTGACACGGGGTGGACCCAAGCTCACCTAATTATGGTCTCAGACCAAGACCAGCCCTGGGCATGAACTACTCAGTTCAAGTTTAAGTGCACACTTGGAGAGGCGTTGAGAGCCAGAGGGATCAAGAAGAGAGAGGGATGCATGAATTTTGTGCACTGGGCTTCTTGTACAAGAATAAACTGTTTCTCATGCTCACAACTGTAAACCTACTTTTGCCCCATCCTGCATAGATTTTTGACTGGTGCTTAACTTTTGGAGATAATTTAAGGGGAGGGATTTTTCTTCATATTTGAGCCAATATACACTTTATAGCTTGATAAAAATCCTTCTGTTATGAATGGCTTACACAATCTTTTATTATTTTAAATAAGCCATTAAATCATTCCATGATAATTAAAAACCAATAACATTGAATTTACAATATCAATATTCTTTCTAATTTATATCTATATAATCTCTTAAAAACAAACCCCCAAAAATATTTATTTTCTTAAGGTATGCTTCTTTCTATGATTTCTCTGAAAGGGGCATTTAATATACCTCACCAGCATTTCACCAAAAGGGCAAAGCAACCTAACCTTAATTTACTGGTAGAAAGAGTTTTCATTACTTGGTTTCAATAGTTTGTTGATTAATGCAGCTTCACAGACACTATTATTCTAATGCATCTTTGAAAATGTTAACCGTTGTTCAGGAAAATTTCCAATAAAAGTCATAATCTGACAAGGACCATGGCACAATGTATCCATTTTGCTCTTTTACTCACTGAAGGAAAGAAGACTTAATGCATCCTTCCTTAAAGTCTATTAAGTCACATTACATATGCCTCATTGAGAGAGAGTCATTAGAAAAAATAATGGAGGAATTAAGTGTGCACTTACCTGTATTAGACATATCCGTAGGGCTGTGGTCCAAAGAAGCAATTGAAGTCTGTTCTATTTTCTTGTATCCCGTTTTTAACTATGAAAGACAATGAGAAACATGAAATGTCATTTTCTAAAGAAGGTCAAAGACCAGACTAGAAGCTCATTCTATATCATAAAAGTGTAGCATGCAAACTGTCTTCTTGACTGGGAGTTCAACCAAGAGGTGGGGCTGGCCAGGGAAAGGGAGGGAGGCCTTGGTTGGTGGCTAGCAGACTTTAGGGACCTTACCCGTGCATAAATTTCGTGCAATGGACCTCTAGTGTTAACATAAAAAGAATAAAGTGACTAAAGCATTAGTTCAGAAAAAATAAAAAATAAAACCTCTAAAAATTTGGTATATTCATCTTCAAACAAAGAAAGTCAGATTAAATGTAAAACAGCTTTCAGCTTTATCATCCAAGAACAACATAATAGGCCATGTACCTAGTCCTTGAAAAGGTTATCATCCCAAATAAAAAAGGATAAGGGGCTGACAGAAAATCTTATACCCAGTATCTGATTAGCATATACCAGTAACTGAAATTACCTCTGACAAATTGTATTTCACTGACTGAAAGCCGGCCTGAGTTTCCTATTTTACTTTATAGCTAGCACTCACTTAAAGACTTCTTACTCTTTACTTTATGACTTTGATTTATCAGGCTACTGCAGCAACTAGTTATTAAATGTATTGAAATTTTGATGCAGAAACCCCCCTTTGTGTGTCTGCAAGGGTGAATGATATCCTAGTATACACACGTGGGGAGCATACCCACCTACACTGAGTGGTAGAGATTACTCTCTGTGTGTGGGAAAGAAGCTGAGGACCATGAAGGAATACTGCTCGCCTTCAGTGAAGCAGAAGACAGAAATAATAATGTACTGGGCCATACTAATGACTGTCTGAAAACAGATGTGATATTTCTAACATAGTTCCAAGTGATATCTACATGTATCTTTGTGATGCCACTCCTGATCATAGTTTTCTGGGCAAAAGACACACTGACATGAAAAAAATTGCATTTATTGACAGCACAGAATAAAAATCTTAAAATATAAAATCTTTCAAGGAAATACCAGTTTGCTAAGACACTGTATTACCAAAATGATAATTCTCGATGTATATGGCAAATATAAAAACATACAGGGGATTTTTGGATTGCAGAAGAAAACAGAAATTGAAAAGTACCTGATTTCCCTTCAAAGAAGGTAAAACAGCATCTATAGTTTTGGGGGTAGAGGAGGTCCTTGGAATTGGTATTTCAGGAGAAGAAAGAAGATTAAATGCTGAAGCTTGAGGTCCATATTCTCCAGAGGTCTGTAAAAGGGGTGTACACGGTGGATTTCCTGGGTGACTGCCATCGGATTTTTGTCTTATGAATGCTATCTCCCAAGCAGGTTCTGACCTAGCAGTAAAAAGGAAACACTTTATGAATGTATTATGAATATAGTACAATTTAATTCTAAAATAATGTTTCACATATTACTTCAAAATATTTCTTTTAGGGTCTCAGGTACTTAAGACACCTTAAAAATTACTATTTTAAGGAGCCATGCTAAATGATTCCTTTTATCCTGTGAATAGAACAGTTACCTCAACTTGGCTCGGGTAATTATGCTTTTTGCTTCTTCAAATGATACACCAATCATAGATTCCTTGTTTATTGAGACAAGTTGATCTCCTGGCTTCAAACGTCCATCCTAATAAAAATAGTAACATTTGTAAAGAAATGAATAAGGATGGTTTAAAAAAAAATTGATGCGATTACAGCAGGAAAAGTTTTAGTGAAGAATGTCTTAAAGAAATAGCAAAATCAGAGATCATAACACATAATTGCTATATTCACAGGTGATTTTTTTTCTCCGTCCATTTGATTAATGTACGGGGAGCAAAACTCAATAGTAACGCCAGAAAAGACTAAGCTATATGGAGAAAGTATCCACCACAGGGATGCTACATGTTCAGTAAAATGAAAAAGCTGACTTTGTAAGGTGTAAACACAGCTCCGTATTGCCTGGGCTTAAATCTTACTACAGAGTTTGGTTACATATGCATTTAAGTCAAGCATATTCAGACTACATTTAGACACTCATGTGCATTAGTGTGCAACTTAATATGCTCAATTTTAGTTTGAGGACAATCATTCATTCACTCAAGGTTAAGGTGAAATGGTAACAAACAAGAAAAACAACCATTTGGCCACAGGCTATAAAATAATAAGGCTAATAAAAGTTAGGAAAGAATAAACAACATTCCAGAGTGCTTATTCCGGGGAGGGTCGGTGAGAATGTGATGGGGAAAGCACATAGGAAGTCTCAATGATACTTAAACTTTCTCTTTAAGTGTTGGATTCTAAGTAGATTCGTAGATGTTCATTTATCATTATACTTTATAAGTTACAATATTTTTCAATATCCCTTTGTATGCAGCAAATATTGCACTCTACACAAGAAAAGAAGTGATCCATTCCCTCCAAATAAAAAGAAAGCTAATGCCATTTGCCCGACAATATGCCTAACCATCTAAATAATATTTGGGTTCTATAATCCAAACCTGGTATTTAAAATAAGGGTCAAGTAGAGAATGTTAAATCTGATTTTAAAATAAATTAATTAACTAGTACAATGAAATAAACATTATTGTTAAATCCAGCTATAGACCATTTGGAATCTGCAAAAATAATTCCTCATTAGTGTCAGTTTAATAACATAGGCTGTACCTGAAATGCATTGGCTACATTACTATTGACTTCTATGCCAAAGCCTGGCAACAATTTAGGAGAGGGGAGGGGTGGGGGAGGAGGAAATGAAGAAAACATGCTTCATTGGAGCAAATCATGTAAAGGTTATTGACAAGGAAAGAAAGGTTCTTTTAGAAACGGGTTGGAAGATAGTAAATATCAGGTTACTTTGTGTTGACCCGAACATTCTTGGTATTCACAGTTCCTTCTATTAAACTTACTTGAAAAGGGGAAATTCTGAAGTGATGACTCTGTCATATGTCAACTCAATGGCCTTTCATTTGGGCAGGATCTCTCAGAGGCAGTGGGTGGGGTGGAAGGAGCACAGGCTGGACAAACAGACCTGCACTCACATTTGCTCTATGACTTGCTAGCTAGATGTTCATAAACAATGAGAGAGAGAGAGGGAGAGGGAGAGAAGGCAGGAGACGGAGAGGCAAGCAATCTCCACAGGGAATGCAGAACAGAATTCTAGCGTCTGAGGCAGCTCCTATATCTGTATCTTACAGAAATCAGAGCTGGTGGTCAGGGCTGCAGAGAAAAGGGCTATAGAAAACAGACATAGGCAACAGGGATCAGGCTGGCCTGCGACCTCTCACAACCTCTTCTCGGGCTGTACAGTAGCATCAGCACAGAGGGAAGAGCCCTCCTATAGGCAACTTAACGCATCTTATAGGAAAGCCCACCGACACACCGAAGCAGCATTCTCAAGCAGGACACAAGTCAGGGGAGATGGAAAGAAAATTCCTCCTGACTGGCTTCTGGTGTTTCTATACATCTTTTCTTTCTACAATGTATCCACCGCAGTGATGGTTTTGCCTTTACTTTGGTTCCTAGAATAAAATCTTAGCTGATCATGTGAATTTCTGAACCTGCTTAAAAGTCAGAACCTGCAAAGTAAAACAAAGCTATTTCTGTACTTGTCTGGCATCTCAAACCAGTGAATTCTGAACCAGCTGCATTAATGTGTGTGCGAAGACGCTAACTTCGGAGGCCTCTTCCACACTGTCTTGATTCTGACTCAGCAGTTACTGAGCAACCAGACAACACGATGGGCAAGGTGCCAAGCACTTTTGTGTGCCCGACTTCAGAGTCTGAAACCTTTCAGGTTGACATCTGTAAAGATGCAGTGATAATGCACTCCTGACCACTCAGATACTTCATTTAGGAACTACCAACACTGTTCATTCCAGATTACATAGACTGGTACTTAGTTTTCTATATAACTTGTTATCTTGTCAGAAACCATCTACCCGTCTGGCTCAGGCTATAACCAGCTCACTATTCCTAACTACTAAGGGATATTCTTGCAAGCCTTTGGGGCCTTTCCCAGGCTACCATCTGCTGTCCACTGGAGATACCCTTTTTTTTTTTTTTTTTTTTTTTTTTTTTAAATCACCAGCTATGATATGAATCTGAGTCAGTTGTTTAACCTCCACGGGACTCCACTTTCTTAGCTGTAAAGTGGGGATAAATACCTATCACAAAGGGTTGATGCCATCATTAAATAATACATATAAAATCAAGCGCGCTGTAGGTGTTAAATACAGGCGAGTCGAACCAGAATCCCAAATCTGTTATGGGCAATTTTCACACTGATAGCAAACTTAATCCTGTCACTCCTAACTTAAGAGCCCGGGATGACTGCCCGCTGGTAGAAAAGTTGGAACTCCTTAACTTCCCAAACCCAGCAAAACAAACTGGCTGCAACCTTCTATTTCTAGCCTCATCATCCAACTTCCCTTCTCGGCATATGAATTCTTGTTCTATTTTCAGAAAGTATTCAACCCCTAATGCTTTTACGTGCACTAATTTGTCGGGATGACACCGCCCACCCTGCCATGTCCCCTGCTGATGAACTCTCACTTAACTTCACAGCCAGCCTCAGGCATCTCTGCCTGAGTTCTCCCTGACTCCCCACATTTATTTAACTGTTCCTTTCTCTGTGCCCCGAAGGCTCTTTCATGCACCTGCATTACTGCACTGACTTTGTGCTGCCCTTGTTTTTATCTCCTGATTTCCTTTCCCCCCGAGGAGAGCAAATGAACTAAACATCTCCCACACCAGCAGCACCGATTCTATCGGCTGGCCGGAGCCACGCCCTTGTCATGGTTGCTCCCCATACAGAGAGCCAGGTGCTTAAGTCCCCAACAAATGAATAAGGTCCAAGAGGCTAAGGTGGCTCTCACAGAAATAAATCATGGCAGAGGCAGAAAGAGCGCGGCATTGCTAAGTGAGCCCTCCTGGCTACACCCACTTCAGCCCCACCAATGGGAGCGCTGTCTACCCTTTGCCATCCCGAGGCCCTGGTCCTATTTATCTATAAGCCTTGGTCCATCTATATGCTTGAGATTGCCTATTTTATTAGCTCTGGAACAATATATTAAAATTGGAGCAAATCAAAGTACTCATATGCATTTAAAAATATTAACATTTGTTCAGTTCCATAAGTGTAACAAGGATAAACCTATAGCCTGTGTTTCCTAATCTGAATATATTTACTGTGCAGAAGTTTTGTGCGGATTAGGTGATTAGTATTAACATTCTAATGCAGTATTTAGAACACAGTAAATCTTACTATTATCAATTTAAAATTTTTAAAAAATAAAAGAGCATTCATTTTGTATTTGCAGAGTAAATATACATATAACTCTCCATCATGAGAAAGTACACCAAAAGTAATGGAAGCATTGCCAACTTATTTATTCTGTCTACACCTTTATTTCGGCTGTGTGGACAGGACCAGGTATAGTAGTCCAAGAACATTAACAGCTCTGTGCTGTCCTCTAGTGGTAAATATACAATATAGTCCATTACAGGGTTTTGCTTTTTAATTCCCTTTCAAACAAGGAAATTCTAAGGACACCAGTAAGAGAAAGAATATATTATGGATATAATATAATTTCTTGGTCTGCCATCACTGACAGCTGACTAAGAGCCACTCAGCATCACTGATACCAATTTAATACTTTACCACTATTTTTCATGGGATATAAAAGCATAAGTTGATGCTTGTCTTAAAAGCAAATTGTTATCATTTGTTAGGTACAATGATCAGTTATTTCATTATATCAAGTGCAATCTAGGAAATACCTTAGCTATCCTGAACACACACACACACACACACACATCTTAGCTTCAAAACTAAAGTAGTACTAAACATTCCAGTTCTTAGAAGAAAAAATCATTTTTGTTTGAATTTGTTTAAATTTAGCATTTAAATATGTTCTTACTTGGTTAAAAATTTAAATTCAATGGCCAAAATTTTATTTAATTATAATATCACAAACATACTGTATAATACTTACAACTCATGCATTTGGAAAATACCTTATTATCTCAACAAGTCTGAAACAAAATCATTTCTATTTTTTTAGAAATTATTAGTAAAATTAACAAAACAAAACAAAAAAACCCAGTAGAATAGATAAGCTGCTTGCTAAACAAGTGTTTGGGGTGGGAACAGGGATAAGAGTAGGTGTATTTATTCCACAAAAACAAGTAGAATAAGAAAACAACAATATGAACAAACCTAATGATAAGAGAATCCTTTCTCATATTATGCAGTTTGATATAAATAGGATGTTTTATTAAATTCTTTATACCCTATATATTTCTAAAAAGCACTGGGGCCAATTTTTAATAAAAGACATATACTATAAGCACAAAAGTAAAACAAAAATAGCAAATACAACCCAAGAGAAATGAAAATGCAAATATAGTAACCAGTTTGTTAACTAAGTTGCTGGTATTATGTTTCAGATTTGGATCTGAGCTGCCTAGGAAAAAATGGACTAATGATTTACATATTTCTTACCTTAAAGAGAAGAGTAAGACTTTCTAATTCCTAAAAAAGGATACTTTCTCATCTTAATTCTAAATCTAATTTCTCATATAGATTCTAAACCCAATTTCTCATGTGAGCAAGTAATTAGTGATATAATTAACAAATTGAACAAAAATTACAGTAAATTTAAAATGAACGAATTTTATTTGCTGAGTGTTTGTGTTTATTTTGTTTTGCATTTAGGATAGGCTAAATGAATATACTTCAAGCTTAAGTGATCCAATTTAGTCCAAACTCAGAGCAATCTAGAGATAACAACACGTCTTCAAATATAATTTCTCTCAACCAAAAATAGGTTAAGAGTTGAATAGCATAAATTAAAAATCTATAACCTTTATTGATAGCCTGAAATCTGTTATTTTCACGTTTTATTTCATATTCATTTTTAGGGTAAAGCTTGTTGAGAATAACAGGCCTATTTTCCAGTTCCTTTGTTCACAGGGGACGTTCAGCTAATACTAAGACTATACTGATGAGATAGAAAACAAACCTTGTTACTAATGGCTTGGGGGTTTTTTTTTGTTTTTTTTTTGGTGAAGGTCTATTTTAAATTTTCATTTTTACCTTATAACAGTCTCTGCCAGGAATGATTTCCTGAATATACACAAAGGGACCTTCATTCCGGTTAATTCCTCCGAGGATCTTCAGACCCAGGCCTGTTTCCTTGGTAACTGTAATCATCTGCAAGGCAGGATCCCTAAGGTAAAGTAAATTAGCACTCAGGTTACAAGAGATCTTACATTCTCCTTAAACTATTCATTGAATCAAATTATCGGATCTAGATAACTCAAAGTACTCAGTACATTCTAGCAACTACATTTTAAAAAGTATGGTGATAAAAAGCAATCAAATGGATTGTCTTATCTGTAATTTTAATTTTCTCTACAAAACAACCAAACCATAAAAAAAAAAAAAAAAAACAGCAATAATGCTTATTTCTTTGGAGAACAAACAAAAATAGTTCAAAAATATAATAGAGATAAATTTTAAAAATGTATTAAAGGTGATGGAAGATTTGCCTCCTGGGAGCTGAGAGGTCAGGTGGAAAGAGCATCCGGCTTCCAGCCTTCCCAACTAGGTCTCAAAACATGTGAATGGCCGAAACCGGTTTGGCTCAATGGATAGAACGTCGGCGTGGGGACTGACGGGTCCCGGGTTCGATTCCGCTCAAGGGCATGTACCTTGGTTGCGGGCATATCCCCAGTAGGATATGTGCAAGAGGCAGCTTATCGATGACTCACTCTCTCATCGATGTTTCTAACTCTCTCTCTCCCTTCCTCTCTGTACAAAATCAGTAATACTTATTTAAAAAAAAAACAAAAAAAACCCAAAAAATAAAAAACATGTAAATGAGGCTACCCAACATCATTTGGTGTTGACCAGAAGAATTAATCACAAAATCATGGCAAAGAATAAAAGCTTGTATTTTTAAGGCACTTTGAGGTGATTTGTTACTCAGCAAAAGTTAATCTTATGCTATTTTTACACTGAAATTATAAAATATTTTAGATATTAAAAAATTAGATCAATTTTATAAAGCAATCTCAAAAAATATTTCTAAAAAAGAATGCAGAATCAGTCCTTTACACTGATTTACACTAAAAGGTAATTATTGTTCAACTTCTCATTACTGCTGTCCCAGACCGCGGGTAGTTAGCTGTATAACACTTTCCACCAGATTCTCACTAATATTCGACAGACTTAAAATTATGATAGTTCAAAACATACTAAATTTAATTTAACAATTACTTTTCAAGTGGACCGGATGGCACTGCAGCAGAGGAATTTTTATTCATGGTTTCACCACAGTAGCCTTGCATTTAACAGCCATGCAAATGCAAATCTGATGAAGAGTCTATAAATTCTTCTTTTCCTAAGATTGGAGAAGCAGAAAATAAAGTGTCATGTCTTAGAATAGTCAAATGTACTCTATAACTTTGCATAAAAGCATTACATACATTTGGCACATAAACAATATGTGCCTGTGTACAGATGTTAGATGAATTTTATATATTTTGGGCCATGTCATATTAGTCATTGCTCATCGTATCTGAGAAATGTAAAGATAGTACTGTAGATAGATAGATAAAGGTATCGAGGTATACCTATCTTATATAATAAAAGCCTAATATGCAGATCGACCCAACAGCAGAATGACTGGTTGCACTGACTACCAGGGGTAGATGCTCAATGCAGGAGCTGCCCACAGGCCCCGGGCCAGCCAAGACGGGTGCTAGCAGGGACCCCTTGATCACCTCACCAGTCACCCCCTGCCAAGGGAGGAAAAGGGTGGTGGTGGCAGTCGGCAGGGCCAATGAGCAGGCAGCGCCAGGCTGACCAAGGCAAGTGCCAGTGGGGGGCCCCTGATCACCCTGCTGGTTGCCCTGCAGATTGGCCCTGATTGCCAGCCAGGCCTTGGGACCTTACCTGTGCACAAATTTCATGCACCGAACTTCTAGTATCATCATAACATCTACATATTTAAGAAAGCTGCACTTCTGACAGAAGTGAAGAACAACAGGTGAGCTTTAGATTACTACAGCTTCCATAGTTAGTAAGCATAAAAAGCACATAATATTAAAAGACGGAGGGAAATGTCTTTTCTGAGCACAAGGCTAAGACGGTTATAGTCAGAATGTCTGCAAAATAATTATACAGCACACTGCTGAAGAAAATAGAAATTCCTACTGTCTCACCAACTATCTTAAGGGACTTCCTGCAGATCCTAGATTACTCTGACTCATATCACTCCACAGCTTCTTCAATATTTCCTATGAAAAAAGTATTTTGATCTCTCTCACAGGTCCACTGTAAAAATCAGAGAACAGTGGTATCATTGAATTAAAAAATATTTGAACAGAGATTTACCACATCTTCATAAGAAATATGAATGGAGTATACAAACGAAGCTATACAAGATTTTAGGATCCTTTAGAACAACCCTCTCATTAAAGAAATGAGAGTCACAGAGTTTGGGTACTTTCCCCACCCAGATAAGAATCGGTCACTGGTTGTTTTCCCAGCTGGAATTCAGGCTGCAGAGCCCAGAACATGGGCTTTGGTTTCAGACACCCCTGGGTTCCAATTTGAGCTACTAGGCTTTTCTGAGCTTGTTTCTTCATAGTTATATTAGGCAATAGTGATGGTTTTACAAATGAATGCCCATGTCAAAACAGCAAATCCTTTCACTTTCAATATGTGTTGTTTGTTATATATAAATCAATGATGATACCCTAATCAAGTTAACTTTTTTAAAAAAATCGGATTTTCATTTACAAATGACAGTGGAAGCTGAAACCGGTTTGGCTCAGTGGTAGAGCGTAGGTCTGTGGACTGAAAGGTCCCAGGTTTGATTCTGGTCAAGGACATGTATGTTGGTTGCGGGCACATCCCCGGTAGGGGTTGTGCAAGAGGCAGCTGGCCGGTGCTTCTCTCTCATCGACGTTTCTAGCTCTCTATCTCTCTCCCTTCCTCTCTGTAAAAAATCAATAAAAATATATATTTTTTAAAAATGACAGCGGAAGTGGTACTCAAACTGGTAATGTGTACACTTTATCACATCAGAGATTCAAGAGAGCCTTAACTATATAACTCTACAGCTGTTTAAGGATACTGAAAAAATCAGGAATAAGTCTCTTCCCTGAGGTAGACCTTGCTTAATTTATATTTTTTAAAATGACATTAAAGTTTCAGAAAATCAAGATGTAAAAGGTCAGAGGGTTCTTTTACTATCTCCTTTCTTGTGTGCCCAAGGACAATTTCCCAGGTGCTCAGCATTTTTGCCTTTCAGGAATCTAAACAGTTCAGCAGTGCTGCTCATCTGTCTCGGGGCGAACACAGCGTCTGCCTGTAACACAGCCCATTCCTGTGGGGAATGCCAGAAGGCTTCAAAGGACTCCTAGCTTCCCTGAAAGGAGATCACAGTCACTGTTCTCAGAAGTTTCTGTAGACTCTCTGGCTCCCTTCTGCTTGGCACACTCATGCCCTCATCCACCAGACATTTACCCAGCATAGCCATGCAGGACACTATGCTAAAGGCTTGTGTTATTATGCTGAACAATGGAAGGTCCCTGCTTTTATAGTGTTTACCCTTTAGTGATGGGAGAAAAACAATTAAAAAACAACAACAGCCCTAGCCAGTTTGGCTCAGTGAATAGAGTGTCGGCCTGGGGACTGAAAGGTCCCAGATTCAATTCCACTCAAGGGCACATGCCTGGGTTGTGGACCTGATCCCCAGTAGGGGGCATGCAGGAGGCAGCCAATCAATGGTTCTCTCTCATCATTGATGCTTCTCTCTTTTTCTCCCTTCCTCTCTGAAATTAAAAAAAGAAAAAAAATTAAAAAGGAAACAGCAACATGAACTAACTTTCAGATACCAAAAGAAAGTATAATCAAATTTGTCTGAAAGAGGAGTGCTAATTTAGGTCAGCCAGTGGTACCTCAGCCAAGATTTGAATAATCAACCAGAAGAAAAACTGAGGGACAAAGTACTCCAGGCAGAGAAAAGGCTCCAAGGAAGCAAAATAAATTTGGGGCATTTACAACATAGAAGGAGGTGTGGCTCAGTGGTCCAGCATTGGCCTATGAATCAGGAGGTCCTGGTTCGAATCCCTATCAGGGCACATACCTGAGTTACATACAGACTTGATCCCCGGTGTGGGGCGTGCAGGAGGCAGTGGATCAATAATTCTCTCTCTTTGTTGATGTTTCCATCTCTCCCTTCCCTTCCTCTCTGAAATCAATAAAAATACATTTTTATAAAAAGAGGAGTGTGGATGGGGCATGGTGAATGCAGACAGAGATAGATGGGAGATAAAGTTAGAGAAACAGGCAGGGTCGAGATAAACTAGGGTCTAATGGGTTGTGGAAAGGAGTTTGGATTTTTTGCTTGATCTTACTGCATACAAACTGGCTATTCTCTGGAGACCTGAATTGGCCTTTTGCCTTCCCTCTTACTTTTAGGTTGATTTCGCTTTAGCCTGAATTATGTCAGAATGTCAGTCAGTTAGTTCACTTGGAACATAATATGTATACTGGGCCCAGTACAAAATGAAAATGCAAGTCCCTCTTAAAAAATAATTATTTCAAGATTGTGACAGCAGAGCATTAAACCAAATACAAGACCCAACTAAGCCTGTGGCCCTTTTAAAGGTAGGGCCTTGGGCAACCAACTGCACAGGCACACAACCATGAAGCTGGCACTGATCTTGATAAAAGTAACTTGAAAAAAAAATAAATGCCTTCTACTGGTGAATGGTTTCTGCTTTCATTTCATCATATCTATCAATCATATAAACGTAGCCCCTGAAACATGTGGCTTAAAGGAAGATGCCAAGAATAAGAAACTAGAATATCCAGACTTACTAAGGCAACTTCATGCCATGAGTGTGAATTGATTTAATTGGGAAACAGTGAACATTCAGCCTAATCTCAAGCAAACTATAATTCACTTGTTCTTACTATTTATTCAAATGCCTTACTCTTCCTCAATTAGGTACAGGAAAAATCTTGTAACATATAGCTACCAAGTAAACAGTTGTTAATAATGCTAGATTAATTGCTAGGTATTTCACATTGCCAAATGAACCCAGTAACTTTATTAGAGAGACAGTTACAAAATACAGCCCAGTGACTAATATACTAAGACTGAAGTTGCAATTTTCTCAATTGTTATTAGCCATTAAAATACCAAAAAGTAATTAGGAACTAAATTTTAAAAATAACACATCTTTATAATCCATGTCTTCAGAAAGTCTGAAAAGCAGTCACACACAATAGGAAAACATTGTGACTCAAAATTTCTTTTTCCTTTTTCAACCTTTACCATTTCTGTTCCCACCCCCAAAATGATTTATATAAAAATAACAACCTATTTTACTTACTATGTAAAATTAGACACAATCATATCTAGTATCTAACTAGATAACTAGCTAGAAAGGGTTCACAAGGATTAATCGTTTACGGCTGAGCAATGACATTACAAATTAAAGGTGCCAAGTCTGAAATCTCAGTCAGGTCCCTTCTGTTTTAAGTTCCTTTGTAATCAACACCTCTACCTGCAGAACAAGGTTGAACTAGTCTTGCCCTGAGGTGCTCCCATTCCATTCACGGCAGAATCCATTATGTAGCACTCATTATCATAATTATTAATGCGTGATCACAAGCAGACTCAGATCACAAGAATTGCAGCCAACACCACTTTATTGCTATCAAGATTATTGTACCTTGGAAAGGAATAGTTTCAGTTGCAATTACAAAACAAAATAATAGAGCCCAAGACAAAGATGCTATGATTGACACTTATATGTTCTGCTACCTGTTGCTACATGGAAAGGTTGCCTAGAGGACGTTGGAGGGAATGTACGCTTGCTCTCAGTGACATTCACATTTGCATGGGATTTGAGTCTACACTGTAAGAAATGAAATGTAAAATATGACAGATTATGTCCCAAAAGAGCTGACAATCTGGTGTAAGCACTAAGGGAGATACAGATGAAAAGATTTTCAAACATTCTCATAAAACAAATCAATTTGTAGAATCACATAATCTTGAGATTTCGGTTCCAGAATAGGAGAGAGTCAAAAGGTGCTTGGATTTTATTGGGGTTTTTTTGGTTTTGTTTTGTTTTTTTTATTTCAGAGAGGGAGACAAGAACATCAATGATGAGAGAGAATCATAGGTCAGCTGCCTCCTGCACACCCCCTACTGGGAATGGAGCCTGTAACCTGGGCATGTGCCCTGACTAGAATAGAACCTTGACCTCCTGGTTCATAGGGGATGCTCAACCATTGAGGCACAGGGGCCTGGCATGGTTATTCTTTACCAAACAAATATAAAAAGAGAATGTCAGCCGATTTTTCCAGAAATGCCTGCACAGAAGACAGAGAGCAACCTCCTCAATTCCAGCAACCACTAAATTTATATATATATTTAACTGACTTTTACTGTTGTGGTAATCAGAAAAAGAAATATTAATAGCACATGGGAAGAACCCCAACCAAAGAAATTTGAAATTTATAGTAAGTGCCCCCACCCCCTTTTCTGTTTATTTTGTGAGTTGGTGCTAAACTTCCAAGGGTCCTGATTTAAAAAGAAATTGTATGCCATTCCAATTTATTTCCAGGATGAGCGAAGTATTTTTGCCCTCTTATGTGGCTCTTTGAAAATGTGTAGCACGAAGTTCCAAAAAAAATAATAAAAAAAAGAAAGAAAAAAATAGTAAAACTACATTATTATCTTATTCTGTTGTTTTCATTATACAGATTGTTGGGTGAAATTCTCTTATTTATGTATCTGTTACTCGATCACCTCCTGAGTCATCAGAAGACTCGCCATAACAGAAGTGGATTTGACACTTTCTCTATTTGTAGCCCTAGTAGGTCGAACAGGGTCTGGCCCACAGAAACAGAGAAATAAATAAATAAATGACAAAAATCACTTCTCAGGCAGCTCTGGTCCTTAAAAAAGAAAGCCTAACATTTACTTTTTTTAATTATTATTATTACTACGTTTCAGGCACTGTGCAAATCACTTTACATGCAGAACCTCACTATTATGATTTCCACTTTACAAATAAGGTCACGGAGTCTTGGATCAAACAACTGGCCCAAGGACACAGGCCAAAGTGCAGACCCCGGCATGAATCCAGACCTAACCTCTGACTCCGAGCTCCTCACCGCTGCTTCACATCGTTTCTAGAAAGACGATGCTCCCTTCCGGTGCAGCAAAGTCCGCTCAGCCATCCAGTCGATCCTGTGGGATAACGGAGGAAAGCGATCACATCCCCCAAACACTTATTTCCCGAGATGAACAGCCCCATTTCCTTGCTTCCTTCGCTACATGATCTTAGATTCCCGGTCGGTCCCTCTACACAAACTTCAGACGCACCGCGTCCCTCCTGCTCCACCAGCGGGGACGTCGCTGGGCAAACAGTTACAGGGGCGTCAGGGCGGTGGACGCCGATTCCCTTTGGGGCGGAGAAAAATGCACGAGATGGTTCGAGTGGGCTGAGGTTTAGTTATCCAAAAGGAAGGCTTCCCAGGACAGGGCATCGATCCCAGCACCCAGGGCTGCGCGCTCCGGACCAGGCGGGCGGCCGGAGTACCCCAGGTCCAAGGAGCGCGGGGCAGCGGCCGCAGGGGGCCCCTGGGTCCAGACAAAGACTGAGGCAGTTTAGGAAGACACCGGGGACCCCACCCCGAGGGAGGACGGGTGCACGCGGAGGAATGCCAGGCGTTGTTCCTAAAAGTAAGTTAGATAAAGTAGGAGCGAAAACAAAGTGGGAGGAACAGTCCTAAAGCAAAACGCGAACTTACCCTGGCCACCCGGCCTCCGTAGCTCGCCTCCCAGGCGTCAGCCTCCCCAGCCGTCCCGTAGCCTAGGCAGCGGAGGCGGCGGCCTCCTCACTGGTATCGCGAGACTTTGCAGGCCTCGCGAGATCTCCCCTCGTGCGTGACCGGCGGGCGTCCTCTCCGGACGCTATGGGAGGGCTCTGGCGTCCGGGATGGCGGCGCGTTGCTCTGTGTGGCTGGCGCTGGCGTCCCCTCGGGCGCCCGACCTGCGTGGCGGAGAGGGTTGAGCGGTGGCTCAAGCCGGAGAGGAGTGGGACGGGAGGTGCTGGGACGCCGGGACCGAGGCTGATCGGGACGTGGAGGCGCTCGAGCCTGGCCCGAGACCTGGCCGTGGCGGCGCGGCGGCCGAAGAGCACGAACCCGCAGGCGCGCGCGCAGGAGGAGGAATGGAGGCGGCGGAACAAGACCGTCCTCACGTACATGGCCGCGGCCGCCGTGGGCATGCTGGGGGCGTCCTATGCCGCCGTGCCCCTGTATCGGCTCTACTGCCAGGTAGGGCTGTCGCTGCCCCCCGGGCGGTGTCCTATGGGGACGTCCCAAGATGATTGCCCGGAGAGGGGACGGGCTCAAAAAGGTGACTTGGCCAAGGTCACCGAGGAAAGTTCGCAAGTAGGACCCAGCCCTCTGGGGTGATCCTGCTGCTGCGGAGTGAAATTCCGTGGTCTCCGAGCTCCCCGGGAAGGTCCGTGGCCTGTACTCCGGAACCGGGCAGTCTGCTTTTACCCTCCTGCTGCTTGCACACGTTCCCGCTTTACAAAAAAAATGTAGCCTAAATTATTAGTAAATTAACTCAGTGGGCCACATGGTTTATGTACACAGGTTTACCCTGGAAATGGGAAGTCAGTGTTGCTTGTACTTGCACTGGGCATAACTTTTTATCTAAGGTGACCAGATGTCCCGCTTTTGGCGGGACAGTCCCGATTTTTAACAATTTGTTCCGCGGCGTTTTAAAAAAGCCACGATTTTTGGAAAAATCGGGACTTTTTTAAAACGCCGCGGGGCCCGGGACAAATTGTTAAAAACGGGACGTCTGGTCACCTTATTTTGATCTCTAAAAAGAGATGAATTGGACCTTTGAGGACCCCACCCCCATTCATTTATAACTGGAATGTGCTTATCCTGGGCTCCGTTTTCATCCGAATCTGGCTCGTTCTCTGTGTGGTCCTTGGGACCATCAATATCAACATCACCTGGGGACTTGAGTGCAAATTGTTGTGCCCAACTCCTGAACTGCTCAATCAGGAATCTGGGGAGTGTCATTATTTTAATAAGTCCTCTTCTAGCTGCTTTGATGCAAACAAATGTTTGAGACCCATTGGCCAACGCAAACTTCACCTAATTCCTATATAGCTTCCATAGTTTTTTAAAGTGATAATTTGCTGCTCTGGCTGGGATGGGCCTTGGAGTAACCAGGGGGCTTTTTAAAGAAGTGACAGATCAATCACATCCCAAACCAGTTAAATCAGAATGTCTTGGAGTGGGGGATCAGGCATTAGTAATATTTTTAAAGATTCCTCAGAATCTTTGATTCCACTGTTGACACCTGTCTAACTTACCCCGAGTTTACAGAGATTAATTTACCTTTATTTTGTGTGATGACTGAAACAGAAGTCAAAGAGACTATTCAGTCTCCTGGTATCAGCATTTATGTGGGATAGTGCAGTGGCTTGATTTGTGGAGGATGAGTGTGGAATGTGAGTTAGTTTCCATCAGTGACGAGCCTAGAGCTAGCCTGAATCCCAAAACTACCAGTTGGTTCAGTCAGCAGAACTGAACACAAAATAGCAAGTATGGACCTCCACAAACCAAGTTGATTTTATTCCTTAAGGAATATTTAGCAATGTCTGAGGACATTTTGGTTGCCACAACCTGGCAGGACGGTGCTACTAGTTATCTGGTGGGTAGAGGTTGTTAGGGATGCTGCTAAACATCTATAGTAATAAAAGGGTAATATGCTAATTAGACCGGGAGACCTTCCAGAGAAAGCCATGGTGATGGGGCTGAGGTAGAGGCAATAAGGGGTGATCAGGCCAGGTGGAGAGGGCATTGGGGGGTGATCAGACTGAGGGGGGGAGTTGGGGGGGAGGGGGACATGACATTTGGGGGTGAGCAGGCAGGTGAGCAGTTAGGAGCCCCAGCAGTCCTGGATTGCGAGAGGGATGTCCAACTGCTGGTTTAGGCCCGATCCCAAAGGGTCCAGGATTGGAGAGGGTGCAGGCCAAGTTGAGGGACAAAACCCCCTACCCCCATGCACGAATTTCATGCACCTGGCCCCTAGTCTAACAACAAACAGGACAGAAACCCCACCTCACAAAAAAAACAACAACAAAAAACACACACACCCAAATGTCATTAGTGCAAAGGTTGAAAAATCCTGTCCTAAACTGAAGTGAATGGCAATATTTTGTGCACGTGTGTGCAAGCACAGGGCAGAAAAGTAAAACCAGTTGTAATTTATGATCCTAAATTTAAATCACAGTTGGTGTTAAATAGTCACATTTCCTAAAGAGTATCTCTTTAACTTTTGGACTCAGAACTTTAGAGGCAAAAATAAGGGCTTATATAAACGACTTAATACAGTGACCTCATTTTATGAGCCTTCAACTTGTGCCCAAGGAAAGTAAGATTTATTGAGTTCTTGGATTCAGTTAGTGGCAGAACTAGACTAGAGACCAGGACATAATTCCTTCTCAGTGCCATTTTCTACTCAATTTCTGTAATCAGACATAAATTTAAATAATCTATATTCAAAGACTGCCTGTCAGAAAGAGTGCCTTAAGGAATCTATGTTCAAGTGATTCGAATTCTTCAGGAAAAGGAGTTATATGTTAAAACCTAAGCAGTACAACCTTCTTGGACAGAAGAATATACTTATAAATTACACAAAGATAGAGGCTTGCCCTCTGATGCATCTTTTAGGGTTATAATGTAATTTGCTTGGCAGTCAAGTGAAGCTAGCTGACTTGTGTAATAAGCAGGAATTAGTCATACTATATTTTGCTGGTAGACTTTCCCTAGCCTCAAATTTGGTATTTTTTTCCTAGTATAGTAACAGATTAATTATCCGGAGACCAGAATTCTGGCAACCTCAAGCGTCAGAAGAAGGATGAGCCTGGAAGTAAGAATATTTTTTTAAGCATCTCTGATGATAAAGGAAATAATGGCAAGAAAGATAGGGAAGAAGTGTCATACACAGATTATTCCGATGTCTTTTGATTAGTTCATTCAGTGTTCAAAGGGATCAAGTTTTCTAACTGATAGGTATCTGGAAAAGCTATACTACACCAAAAATACAGTAAAAAGTTACAAAAACATTTACCAACATGGGAAAATACTTATGGTGCTTGAGAAAAGCAGACTACACAAGTGAAGCTAAAATGAATCTGTGCTGTAAAAGTTATAATATGAAGAAGGACCAGACAGGAAAATTGAATTATTTAAATAGTTTTACTAAAATGACAGGATTGTGGGTAAATTTTCTTTCTATTAATAATAGTTTATGTTAAATACTAGAAATAATAGAAAGCATACTTATTGAAAAGCTAAATATTCTGAGCTGTATTATCAGTAAAGAGTCTGCTGTCTGCAAATGACTCATTTTTGACCATGCCACATAATCGAATGATTACTGAGAAAATATTACTTAAATAAATTTAGGCCCTTGACACCCCCAGATTGGTTAATCATTTGACACACTCATAGGAAATGGTCAGTGATAGTACATAAACTTGGCTCCTATTGTGTTATTAAAGTTAAATGGTTTTTAACATTATGATTTTATCCAATAAATAGATCATCAGCACCTAAAAGTAATACATATTGTTCTTTCTTTTTCTAGACTACTGGACTTGGAGGATCAGTAGCAGCAGGGCATTCGACAGACCAGATAGAAAACATGGTGCCTGTTAAGGATCGCATCATTAAAGTCACCTTCAATGCAGATGTGCACGCAAGTCTCCAGTGGAACTTTAGACCTCAGCAAACAGAAATATATGTAAGTGATCAAAGAAATACCTATAAGTATTAAAAGGTTACTTTTTTCAGTGTAAAAAATTCAGTGAAACTTAAAACTGTTTCACAGTTTTGGAAACACTCATCTAAATTTAATTTCAAAATGTTGACAGACTCCATAATTAAGTATGCATATTAGAGAAGCGGTTCTTCATTGATATATATAAGTAAAATTTGGAAATCAGGTCTTCATGGGTAGTATTCACTATTTTGCTAGCTCTTAGTTTAGATTAGATATTATAGTCTGATGGATAGGAAAAAAAATGACTGATTTAATAGGGAAAGAAGGAGCTGTGTGAGACTTACTGATAATGTATGTTTTTTTTAAAAACAGGTAGTACCTGGAGAGACTGCACTGGCTTTTTATAAAGCTAAGAATCCTACTGACAAACCAATAATCGGAATTTCTACATACAATGTTGTACCATTTGAAGCTGGACAGTATTTCAATAAAATACAGGTACAACTAAATGCAAACTATAGAATATGTTAAAAGTACAAAAAAACTGTTTAGCACTAAATTTACTGCAGTGCTTTAGTAGGTACTGATTTCTGAAAACTAATTTCTTCTAAACTTCAAACTGTTGGGGTTTTTTTTTCATTGCTTATAACAGCTATGTAGAGGTGTAGAGCCAAACTAAATGGAAATCTGCTTTTAAGATTAGAATTTGTTGATTCTCGATCCTTAAGCAGAACTCAATCTAAGATGAAAAGAAATGCTGTTACCCTATCACAGAATTTAAAGATTATGTTTAACACTATGCTTATTAAAGCCAATAAATGTACCATTAGTTTTTACTCTAGATCAGTGTTTCCCAAAGTGTGGTACGCGTACCCCCAGCGATACGGGAAGTTTGGTGGGGGTACATGTTGCACCAGAGTTCGGTGGGGATATGCATCGTACCGTGCTTAGCTGCGCCTAATTCTACGTTCTCATGAGTACGAGGGGTACTCAGCGTTACGAAAATTATAGAAGGGGTACACATATGTCAAAAGTTTGGGAAACACTGCTCTAGATAATAGAATAGAAATATTAATAAAGTAATACCTTTTTATAACTTCTAGTGCTTCTGCTTTGAAGAACAAAGGCTTAATCCACAAGAGGAAGTAGATATGCCAGTGTTTTTCTACATTGATCCTGAATTTGCTGAAGATCCAAGAATGGTGAATGTCGATCTCATCACTCTTTCTTATACTTTTTTTGAAGCAAAGGAGGGCCACCAGTTGCCAATTCCAGGCTATAATTGAAGTCAGTTATCTTAAGTCCTGCTTCAAATTTGTGATTTTTGAAAAATCATGTATCTTGTCTTCTCAGAAGAGAAACATTCTACAATAATGTATTCTATTCTGTTTTATGCTTTCTATTTTAAATATTGTGTACTGCTGTCCTTTCCCCCAACTAATTTACCCTACTTAAAATTGAGAGAACAAGTTCAGCCTTTTATCATAAGGAATCCACATGCCTTTTTAAAATGTATAACTGTTCAAAACCATACTTTGCTAAGAAGTAATAAAAGAAACTGTTTCTTAAATGTGTAGGCATGATCCCCTTCCAAATTATTAGCAATACATACCTGTAGAAGTACTTGTTTTTTATTGCCCAGTATTGTCTCAGGTCAGAACTTCTGACTATATTTCTAAAACATTTGGTTACTACTTTTTTTTTTTTTTCATTGTGTACAGTCACTATATGAAACGCTCCAAATGGAAGGGGAATCACTAAGCCCTAACAGTTTACCCAAAGATACATTCTGATTTCAGATGGGACTGTTTTTCCTTTAAGATCTAGGGTGATTTACATTCAGGGTACTGAATAATTACTTTAAGTTTTGGTATCGTGAAATTGAAATGAAATGAAAGTATCTACTAGCTTCTAGTGATAGCTCCAGGTCCCTGAATGTTAAAATGTAAGTGTGGGAAATGTGAAGATTACTGACATTATAAGTTCTGCAATGAACAAACTGTAAAAAAGATGTATTAAATTGTTTTAATAGTAATTTATTTGTCATTGTAATTTATGATATAAGTGAATGTATAATTTATTCTGAATATTTTCCAGTAGTCTGTTTCAAAAAAATTTTTTTAATTGCATTAAAAAGAAAAAGAATATTTAGTATTATAAAGAATTGTATTTAAAGGCAACTTGATGTAGTGTCCTTTACCTGAAATAGGAACTACAATATTAAGGTTTTTACAATTCACAATTCTAAACAGAATATTATTTATAAAAAAGTGCACATATTTGGCTTTAGTTTAATGAAGGCACTCACTATTCTCCTGAATACTATATTTAGTTTCTCACATTTTGTGCTTACACCTATTCAGAATTATTTTGTAATAAAATAATATCCATCTACTCTCATCACAGACGTGATGATTTCTAAATATAGGAAAGCCTGAGAAACATAAGATGCTCCAATTAACCTGATTGGCCTCGGTACAATTAATTTTTTCTTCTGTTGGAGTTTTAAGTGAATATATGTTAAAAGCAAGTTTCTTTAGATAAAGCTTGAACTGTTACTCTTCACTGTTGGCAAGGAGAAATGTTCCACCCTGGTTCTGAAGTGTTGCTAGGTCTGGTCTTCTGGGCCTCACAACTGGACAGTCTACCTCTTGGAGTTGTTACCCCTAATGCAGCTAGTGAGCTGGTCCTTCATTTTCACCTAGAATAAACAGAAAATAGTCAACCATCCCCATCCTTTCCTTCTCTTTCCCCGTTTCTTGATAACTAGAGGGCCACTTACTAGTAGAGGAAATGCCAAATGTTCTATTTCCATTGGGTGTGTGTGTAAGGGGAATAAATAAGGTTAATAGGTTATTAGTGGTCATGCATTCATTAATGAATAAGTGGGATGACTAGACTAGCAAATAAAAATAATCCAGACTTATCTTGATTAACAGTGAATAGTCCCTACTGTCTCAGTTAACAGTGTCAGTTGCACATATACGACAGATGTCTGATTTTAGTTTTTGTTAGTGTTAATATTTTTATATACAGATGAATTTCTGCATTCCCAAAATTTATTATTTTTAGTTAACAAGGTCACAAAGAATGTATTTCATTGGTGAACAAATAGTTCATTCAATTGAATAATTTGAAGGAACTTCTTGTATATTAATATTTCACCCATTGAAGTGTTAGAGACTCAGATGGCCCTCACAAAATATAAATACTAACTAGAGAAAGTGATAACTACACTGAGATCCTGTAGAATGTGAAGTTGAAGGGTAAGTTGAAGTCTTTACCTTAACAGTCGCTATGATTTTGAGTGCCTTTGCGGTGATGAACATCAATTTCTTCATAAATAGCTCTGAAACAAACAAGCCATTGTGGCAAAAGGATTACATATCACTTTCAAAGCACTATTTTGGGTTTTAACCTAAACTAAGTCTCTGGTTCCCTTAGCCATTTGGGCTGTTCAAGTGAATAAAAACAAAAATATGCCCTGAATCTTATGTTGTAGCTTTCTTAGGTCCTAATGGTGCAGTTCCTCTGCATCTTAACAATATGTGTATTGTACAGTCCAGTGGTCGGCAAACTCATTAGTCAACAGAGCCAAATATCAACAGGACAACGATTGCAATTTCTTTTGAGGGCCAAATTTTTAAAACAAACTTCTAACGCCACTTCTTCAAAATAGACTCACCCAAGCCATGGTATTTTGTGGAAGAGCCACAGTCAAGGGGCCAAAAAGCTGCATGTGGCTCACGAGCCACAGTTTGCCGAATATGAGTATAGTCAATTCACTTTAAATGCGACTTAATGAAAAATATGGCTAAAATTCGCTTTAAAAAAAATTGTTCAGCTTTTCCTGGTTTTAAGACATTTTATAAAATATACTAACTTTAGTTTATATAATCTATGTTAATACAGTCCAAACTCCTGAGCCACCTTTAGCTTAAATGTCATCTTTGTACTTTGTATATAATATATATGATATATATTAATTTTTCTATGACATTCTTCATTCAACTCTTTGTATATGTCTTAAATGTCTGGCTAGAAAATATATCTATAAACACGACATTCATATTATACATGACTGAAGAAAAATCTAAAAATCACTGAAGTCTTAGTCATCAATATCACAAAGCCCTAGCATGGTCCAGATATTTTTAAAAGTTTCCCTAATGAGTGTTGTCTTCATTTTCCACAAAACTATTTCAGCCTCTTTCACTCTCAAGTTTATCTCCCTCTTCACTCTGAGTCAGAAACCCCACTTCTTAATAAATCAAATGTCTTGATACGGATACTTCCTCATCTTCCCATCACTGAATCTTCTGTTTTCATCTGCATCATCATTTACTTCTGGGATCCTTTCCAGCCCTGGCTTCTCAAGCAGGGTAACTCAAACCTCCTTTAAGTTACCCCCCTTCCCCAACCGAATCTTTAACCTCTCCCTGCCTACTGAGTCCTACCCCTCAGCATTCATAGATGCTCCAACATCAACAATACAGTCCCTAATCCCGTGTCTACTTGGTAACTACCTCAGTAACCCTCTAACTTCCAAACCATTTCCCAGCATCCCTTCGTGTTTAAGTTTCCGGTGTCTGCATTTACTGTCGCTACTCCATCTCTTACTTACTAATGCACTGAAATTTGGCTTTTGTCCCCTTCCATTTACCAAACTGGCTTTCACTAAAATCACCAATGAGCCTGGCCGATGTGGCTCAGTGGTTGAGCACTGACTTATGAACCAGGAGGTCAGTTTGATTGCTGGTCAGGGCACGTGGTGTTTCAGGCTTGATCCCCAGTAGGAGGCATGCAGGAGGCAGCTGATCAATGATTCTCTCATTATTGATTTTTCTATCTCCCTCTCTGAAATTATTAAAAACATTTTTTAATCAATTATTTCCAGTTATGTAATCCATTTTCTGGTTGTCAGTCCTCATCTTACTTGACCTGTCACTGAGTTCATCAAGTTGTGCACTCCCTTTTTGGTTTCCAAATTGCAGTTTCCACGTCTGATAATAGGTACCCTGTTGCTCTCTTTGCTCTTAGCCTTGGCTTTTCTGTGTCCTTGAATGTACCAAACCTCTCTCCTGGGGTCCTTGTACCAGGTGTTCCCTCAAATGCCTCACTTGCCAGGCAGGTCAAATGAGTGGCTGCAGGGGGCCAGGCCAAGGAGCCCGGTGGACTGCAGAGCCTGCCTAATCATAAGGAAACAGCCAATCCGTAGCCCCAACCTATTGCGAGCATGTGAAAATGCAGGCCTGGCATCTAAATCCATAGGTCCAGATATTTTTTTGAAATATCCATGTTTAACTATTGGCTATTAATTTTTAAATGCATATTTTATATTCTGCACAGCCCTAGGCAAAGATACAGCGTGCAGGCTGCCAGTTCCTGAACAATGATTACTACAAACATACTTTGGCCATTTTTAACAATTTGGGGGCTAACCTTCAGTCAATCAAAATACATTAAAGCCTACCATCCCAGAAATATTTTTATACACTTGACCTATAGGACATCTAAACATAATAGTGCCTTAAGGAGTTCAAGTTAATTTTTACTAATGCTTTATTAATCCATTTTAAGCACATTGTTGTCATACATAGTAAAGACTAACACCAAGTTCTTAATATGAGTTTGGGGATGGATTAGGAGTCAAAGCACAGCTAAAAGATCCCATCAGTGTGGGGTTACTATATCATTAATCAGTGACTAGTATCCTCAATCAGGAGAACATCTGGCTTTCTGCCAAGCCAACCACGAGGAATCCATTAGTGCACATGATGGTTCCAGTTACTTCTTAATGTGCAACCCGAGCGTTTTTACTTTTCAGTCACAAGGCCGAGAACGGTAAGACCATTAAGAGCAGCAGTTTCCATAAAACCTCATAAGTCATTTTTTAATAAGGTCATCAATTTTTGCCAAATCTAAGCAAAGTTAAATATATAAGCAAGGCCTACCAAAGGGAACCAAGACAACAAATAAATAAATCATTCTACAAATGACTTACTCGGTCGTGACAGCAGGAGCTAAGGGATCAAACTCCATTACCTCGTAGTAATTGGGTAGCTGGAGATCATTCTTTGTCATCGCTTTAGGCAAAAAAAAAAAAAAAAAAAAAGGCAGTAAACACACGTGCTTTCAAGGGAATACGCACAATTAGTATTCTTATGATTTAGACGTCGAACATAAGATCCTAACAAAGACTGACAGCTGGAAACGAATACCCTGTTGTTCTAATACTACTCCCATGGCAACAAATCTATACAACAAAAGGATTTCAAGCTTCAGCTAACGGTTCATTTACCCTGGGTGCTCAAAATACAATATTCAGCACAACCCAAGCATTTTTATAATGTCCTAATGTCAGAATGGTATTTACCCTGAATTTACTTCATGGAACTTGAAAATACAAACAAACTCCTCATTTTTCCTCTCTTATTTTTGATTATCAATACATCTCTTGCAGACTCATTCAGTTTTCCCTTGTTGGTGCACATAATGGAGTCCCGAGTACCTGGGTGGTTGGCGGGCAAGGCTGGCAGTGTCTGGTTTGACGGTGTGGCTGGAACGGTGTGTAGGCTCACTGGCTGTAGTAATACTGAATTTTGATATTCCGGAAGCTGAAGAAAACAGTGCATATTCAAATCAACATTCTACAGTAAGTTTCCCTTTTTTTAAATTAGATTCCGAGGCTTCCAAGGGGCACTCTTCTAAGAACCGTATACTCTTAACGGGACAAAAATTAGTAATTCTGAACTATTACTTTAGTTTTTTAAGTAATAACCACTTATAAAATGTACTGCTTTCTTGTCTTCATGCCATTACACCTTATTTCCCATGTGAAACTCTGAAGAAACATGTTGCTTTTTTAAAAATAGGAATATACAGGGTGGGGCAAAAGTATGTTTACAGTTGTTGGTATGGAAAAATAATACAATAACACAAGAATAAAAACTTTCACTTACAACTGTAAACCTACTTTTGCCATAACCTATTTACCTCAATCCAGATTTAGTGGTTTTACTAAATATAAAATCTCAGCCACAAATAAGAACAAAAATATCTTGACCCTATAGAAAGGCATAAAGTGACATGTGGAATCTAAATAACTGACAAACAAGACAGAAACATACACATAGATACAGAAAACTTTTTTGATAGTTCCCAGATGGTAGGGGGCCTGGGGAGATGGGTGAAAAAGCGGAAGGGATTAAGAAGTACAAGTTGCCAGTTATAAAAATAGTCATGGGGATGTGAAGTACAGCATAGGGACTCTAGTCAATAATCCTATAAAATAAAGAGGTAATATGCAAATTGACTTTCACACCCTCACACAAGATGGTCACCCCATGTGGTCAAAGATGTCTGCCACAAGATGGCCATCAGGGGAGGGTAGTTGTGGGCGATCATGCCTGCATAGAAGGGCAGTGGGGGTTACTGGGCCAGAAGGGGAGGAGAGTTGGGGCAATCGGGCTGGCAGGGGAACAGTTAGGTGTCAATCAGGCTGGCAGGGGAGTGGTTAGGAGGTGATTAGGCTGGCAGGCAGGTGAGTGGTTGGGAGGCAGCAGTCCTAGATTGTGAGAGGGATCTGGGGTCGTGTCTAAACCAGCAATTGGACATCCCCTAAGGTGTCCCAGATTGGATAGGGTGCAGGCTGGGCTGAGGGACACCCCCCTCCCTGCCATGCACTGGGCCTCCAGTATTGTAATAATTACATATGGTGTTAGATGGGTATTGGACTAATCAGAGTGATCACCTTCTAAGTTAAATAAATGTCTAATCACTATGCTGTACACCTGACACTAATATAATATTGTAAGTCAACTGTAACTTTAAAAAAGAAAAAGAAAAAAATATTAAAAAGACAATAAGGAAAATTCCTAACAAGGCCTACATCAATACATTATAAATTCAACAAGACATTGAGGAAAACATTAGACTTAACGACCAGCAGTTCCCTTTTGGCCGTGGTAATCTGGCTACGTGCACTGCCAGGAAAGGGTTTCACTACTTACACTCTCGTATATATGACTTGAGTCGGGGTTTTGGCTGGTCCTTTGGGCAAACCTAGGATAGTGTGACAACACAGCATGATTACCCTACAGTGAGAACACAAATGCAAAAAGTAAGATGACTTTTCTGGTCTAAAAACAAAACGTAAAATGTACCTTCTGGTTGTACAAAAGTATTCATTTTACAAAACAATTCCAACTACTTTCAGTGCCCACCAGGTCATGATGCCCAGACACCAAAGAGAGTAAAGACAGCACTGCCCCTTGGCCGTGGGAGCCCCAAGATGCTGGTGTACGCACAGTACACCGTGAAAACACAGCCTTCAGTCGTCCCATCAGAGTAGCTCCCACACCATCTTTTCCTGAAGGTCTGGAGGTGATGCAGCCTAGAGGTTAGGAAGGACCTGGGGAGGGCGCTGGCTCTGGGGAAGATGGAGTAAACACACTTGGCCTTCTCTCTCCCACAAAACACAGAAAACCTGGACAGAATGAATGCATGGGGCAAATATTTGAGGACTGAACAGTAAATAGCTAAAGGCTGACTTGGAAAGCAGACAAGAATTTGAGTATCACGGGTGAACTTACCGTTTTTTTTCTCCTCTGGTCTTCCCTAGCCTGAATGCAATGTAGCCTACAACCCAGCAGGGGGCAGTGAGGACAGACAAGAGCTTTAAAAGAAGCCCTTTAATTCTTCCTAAGGAGTAGTGTGCTCAGAGTTGGAAATCCCCCACCCATTCCCCCCCCCCCCCCTTTTCTCTCTGTTCTCACACCCCTAACCCTAGGCAATCCCAAGGTGGCTGCAGTGACATCATGGGTAACAGGGATCTGTAGGGGTTTAAAATCCTGAGTGAGGGGACCCTTCCTCTCCAACAGGTAGAACTGTGATCCCAAAGGGATGGGGGAGGAGGGGCGCGAGACCTCCTTGTTTCTTTTTTTCCTCTCTGTCCTGCCATTTGGGCCCAGACACAATAACATTGAAGAAAGTGCATGGCATAGCAAACCTCCCATTTCTGACTGGAACAAAAAAGGCAGTCCTGGGAAGATAAAGTATCAGAGACACCACACAGAGGGACATATTTGGAAAAACAAACTCCAAGTTGTTTGTGAATTCCTGGGCTCTCCCTCTGATCTGTAACTCTGTGGATCTGTTCCCAGGCAGGATGCCAAAGGTAATGAAAACTGGACACAGCCTGCCGTCCAGACCTCAGGCTGACCGCTGAGCGAGGCACAGGTGAGACAGCGCTGAACAGCTCTGCAAAGGCTTGAAAAGCTTAGCCGCATGGGAACAGCATGCAGAGGGCAGCTTAAAACTGTGGCATGAAACTAACAAGGCTGCCTGCCTACTGATATCAAAGTATCAACATTCTCGATAGGATTTAAGTAAGAGCAAGTATCTCAGAACATTAAAAAAATCCAATATACAATCCAAACTTAGTAGGCACTTGAAGAACTGGAAGCATTTCAAGTGGCAAGAGAAAAGTCAAATCGACAGACGCTGATATCACAAGGATACAGGTGCTGAAATGATCTGAGATTTTAAAGCAGCTCTTGCTACAAATGCTTCAACAAGCAACTACTCTCTTGGAAAAAAAAAAAAAAAAAAAGGAAACAGAAACCTGAGCAAAGAAACACAAGATGTGAAGAGTCGAATGGTAATTTTAGAATTGAAAAATACAATAAGTAAAATTTAACAATCCCTATGGAATGAGCTCAACAACATATAAGGATGACAGAGGAAATAATCAGTGAACTTGAACATGGATCTATAGAAATTATCCAATCTAAAAAACAGGAAAAAAATAAAAGGGAGAAAAGCAATGAACAGACCCTAGGGAATCTATGAGACAATGACAACAGACCTAAGATTTGTGTCAAGAGTCCCAGAAGGACAGCAGAAAATGTGTAGTGTTGAAAAGGTAATTGAAGTATTTCAAATGATAAAGGCTGAAGACTTCACAATTTTGCTGATAGACATAAACTCACAGAGTCAAAAATTCAGCAGAATAAGTTGAATGATGGCTCCCAAAAACATATGTGCTTGTTCTAATTCCTGGAACCTAAGAATGTTACCTTTTTTGGAAAAAGGGTCTTTGCAGATGTATTTAAGTTAAAGATTTTGAAATGACAATACCATCCTGTGGTATTCAAATGGGCCCTGAATCCAAAGATAAGTGAGCTTGAAAGACAAGCAGTGGGACTTCTAGAGAAAATGGCAATGTGAAGGTGGAGGCATAAAATGGAGTGATGCGGCGGCATGCCAAAGAATGCAGCCCCGAGGGGTGTGCGCTCCTGCTGAATCTTAGACTTTTAGCTTCCAGAGCCATGAGAAAATAAGTTCCTGTGGTTTTAAACCATTGAATTTGTGGTCACTTTTTTTTTAATGGTAGCCACAGGAAACTAATACACTCAGCAAACCAAAAAGAACGTAAACTAAAATCCATGCCTACACACATCATAATCAAACTATGCAAAGTTAGGGGGGGAAAATTATTGAATGCATAGTCAGAGAAAACACAGAATCTATAGGGGACAACAATTTGAATGAATATAGGTTTCTCATTAGAAACCATTTAGGCCGTAAGACAGTAGAACAATGTTTAAAAACTGCTGAGGGAAAAAATGAACTTGCTAACCCAGAATTCTATATCCAGTGAAAATATCCTTCAGGAACAAATATGCAATAAAGACATACTCAAGTGAAATAACACTAACATTTTTGCTTCTGATAAACCTGCTCTAAAAGAATGGCTAAAGGAAATTCTACAGACAGAAGGGAAATTATCCTGGGAGAAAATAAAGGAGAAACAGAAATGGCAAATATTACGTAAATATAATAGACTATTTGTCTCTTTCTGAGTTCTTTGAGATATACAGGGTGCCCCCCAAAAATGTATATACACTAACAGCTGATAGTTCATTTGATATTTCCTTCTTTTCAGATTTAACCCATTGGAGTTAATAATGATTCAAAGAGTGTATACAATTTTGGGGACACCCTGTATTTGTGGGTTGCAAGCAAAATTCTATTGTCTAGTGGTAGTTTTTAACTCCAATGTATACGTATGTCATATCTATGGTAACTATAATTTAAATGGGGGATCTATATGGTCATAAGACTTCCACATTTCACTCCAAAATGATCAAATACTGGTTCTAAGTAGACTTAAACGTTATGTATATTGCAATCCCTAGAGTAATCAGTTCCTGCCCCATATAGAAACTATACAAAGATACAGTCAAAATCACAATGGTAAAATGGAATGCTGAAAAAAATATCCAAATAATTCAAAGTATGCAGGAAACAGAGGAGTTGGGGCGGGGGGGGGTGGAGTGGGGGGAACGGACGGACACACACGCACAAAGAAAACATTACACAATCATAGATCTTATTCCAAACACATAATTACGTTAAATAGAAATGGTTTAACCATACCAATTAAAGTCAGGAATTATGAGAATACATAAAAATGCATGATACAAGCATTCGCTATCTACAATAAACTCACTTCAAATATTTTGACACAGTTAGAAGTACAAAGATGGATCAAGATATACGATGCAAGCAAACACCAATTGAGAGAAAGCTAGAGGGGCCGTATTAATATCAAAGTAAATGTCAGGGCAAAGAACATTACAAGGGACAAGGGGGACATTACATAATGATAAAAGGGTCGATTCACCAAGAAAATGTGACAATCCTAAATGCATATGCACTTAATAACAGAGCTTCAAAATAGATGAAGCAAACACCAATTTTACACGATCTTTTCAAGAACTAAGACACAAGGGAGTTATTTTGGTGATGGTTAAATAAATCGATAGATATGTTAAAGTTCCTAGAACTGTACATTAAAAAGGGATGGGTGTCAATTTTATCATAAGGAGATTTTTAAAATTAAAGCACAGAAAGAAAAAGAGAGAGCAGGCACTCAAATCAGGCCCCTTTGAATTTGAATCCCATGTATGCACTAGTTGGGTAACCTTATTTTCTTCATTTGTAAAATGAGAATGATAGGGTACCTACCTCAGGCCTTTTGGGAACATTTTTAAGAAATTAATGGGCATTTTAAAAAACATATTTTATTGATTTTTTACAGAGAGAAAGGGAGATGGATAGAGAGCTAGAAATAAGGATGAGAGAGAAACATCAACCAGCTGCCTCCTTGCACATCCACACATCCCCTACCGGGGATGTGCCTGCAACCAATGTACATGCCTTTGCCCGGAATCGAACCTGGGACCTTTCAGTCATAGGCTGACACGCTAGCCACTGAGCCAAACCAGTTTTGGCTAATGGGCATTTCTTATTCTTCTTAGCCTATTACCTGATGGTAAGTGGGCTATAAATACGACCTATGATTTTATCCCTTCATCACTGTTTTGATCCTTTCTGTTATGAATAATTTCAGCACTCTTTTGTTCTGTGATGAACACATTATACTGCAAGCACAGGGAAAAATCTCAAGACCATAAGACATTAGGATGGTTTATTTTGTCTCTACTGCTGAATCAGAATTTCTGGTGGCCAGAGCCACCCAAGTGATCTTCATGCATAAGAAGACCCATGAGATCACAGAGTAAAATAAGCAGCTATTAGCTAGAACTGCTATTTAATAGCATATGAACTGGGACAAGTTCTATTCCCTAAGTTTCAGCCTTTCCTCCCATAAAATAAGAATAATGGTAACAGCATTGACCCAAGAACTTTGGCAAAAATTAAATGAAATGAACAAAAACAGCTTAGCAAACCACCTGGCACATGGCAAGTCCTTGGTTACTGGTGTGGCCATGACTCTTCATGACTCTGAACTTCATTTCCCTCCTCCTTCCTCTGTCATCGTATTTCCTCTACTTCCTGTTACCAATTTAAAACGAACAGATACAGAGACAATTCATTGAAGGCTTATGACCTACCAAGTGCCATATTAGGAGGTACATACAGCATCTCACAGAATCTTTGTAAGATCCTAGGAAGTATTCTTAGAAGAAATGGAAGGCTTATGTTGGGTAAGTATCATATCCAAAGTCACAGAGCTAGTAGAAAGCAGCATACTGAGATCCCGACTCAGGTCTGTCTGATTCCTAAGTCTCTGGTTTTCCTACTATGTCATGCTTTCTGGAGTATGAGGTGTCAGAAGGAGGTGGAGCGGGTTCTGGAGTATGACAGACATACTTACATGGCTGTGCCTGTGTTTTCCAAGGCTAGCAGATCCATTTGTGGGCGAGGACTGGGCTGCAAGCTGTTCATTATCACAGGAGTTGGAGAGCTGAAACCTAGGACACAAAATGGACATGTTGCCAAAACCAGTTTGGCTCAGTGGAAACAGCGTCAGCCTGAGGACTGAAGGGTCCCAGGTTTGATTCCGGTCAAGGGCATGTACCTTGGTTGCGAGCATATCCCCAGTAGGGGATGTGTAGGAGGCAGCTGATCGATGTTTCTCTCTCATCGATGTTTCTAACTCTCTATCCCTTTCTCTTCCTCTCTGTAAAAAAACAATAAATATATATATATTTTTAAATGGACATGTTGTTTGGCTAGAAAACATTTTGTTGGTAACTTGTTCTGTTGGCTTTTCCATGGCGGGGTGGGGGGTGGGGGGTGGAGGATGGGAAGAGGAGAGAGATTTCTGTCACCATAAAATTATAGAACTTCCTCAAACAGAAATTAAAGGGCCTCTTTTAGGGTAACTGGGAAGAGAGAAATTCCCTGCCACAAGGAGAGGTTGTTGAGAAAGTAACAAATGTTAATGTGCTGGGTTTTCTAAAATCCCAAGCTCATCAGGAAGGAAGGAGATTTTGCATGTCTTGTTCTGCCAACTTCCATACTAAAAATCAGCTGTTTATTCAGAGCTCTACCCTGACCTCCCCAAATTCCTAACTTCCCATCTTAAGTGAGACACCCCAAAGAGAATAACTATCCCCCTCCTCCTTGCCCCCGGAAAATGCCTGATAAAAATGTAAGAAAGGTCTTTAATGAAATAGACTCCACACAGCCCACTGCTCTACCAAGCTAGCAGTCAGCATTTCAGAAATGAAGGAAGTTACAGGAAAACCACAAATTCAGTCATACCAAATATTCTGACTCTGGAAAAAAAACCTCCTAATATAGGAAACCAAAAAGATTTCAGTTTGGCAAAAACTTCTGGACATCAGCATTTTTCATAATCCTTATTTTATAATTTACCCAGGATTTTTTGATAGACTAGTAGGACATAACAAATAAGATAGGTAACCCCAAGCCAACATTTCACTTTATAACCATTATTTCTTTACCTTCACAGAAACCCATTAACATAACCATTGCTCTGACTTGCTAAGGTTAGGAAAGTCTCAGAGGTTAGGTGACTAAGAGGTTAGGTGGCAGAACTGGGATTTCAACTTGGACTCTCCTCTGACTCAAAAGCCTGTTTCCTCCTCTACATTTTGCCACTGTGTAGATAAGGCCTCAAAATTCCTGAATTCCTCTACATCAAATACTCCCTTATCTGATGCTGTAGTATGGCAGAGAAACCCAAAGACAATAATGTGTGGGATCAGAGTAGACTTAAGTACCGGCCATGGAATTGAACAACCTCTACAAAGCAGCCATGGGAATGCTAGGAGATTCTAAGCCAGTGGGATGAGTTTCAAGGACCTCCTCCGCCCCTCACATCCCTTTCCCGTGCTGGGTAGAACCCAACAACCATTGGCCAAGAAGTAATTACATCTCCTGATATAGTCCTGCTATTCAAAGTAATGCCAGTCATTTTCTGATTGCATTTCATCATGAAACAAAGGAGATCTGTTTCGCCTTACGCTCTTCTGCTGGCCTAAAAGACCTGCATGCTTCCCTCTGATTATTTTGCTCCAAAATAATTTGCTCCTTACTTAAGTCTGAAAGCTGAGCATTCATGGCGTTGACCTCTTCCAGAGCAGCCCTATGATTCGGAGTGCTGGGACTTAGGTCAAGAAGATCACAGGATGGGGCAGAAGGTTCAGTGGCAGTCTGAAAATAAAGCAAACAAAAATATAATTAAACAAACAAACAAACAAACAAACTCTGGCAGGTCATTTATCACTTAGGCTTTCTCCCTGGAAGCTTTCCTTTGGAGAAAAGAAGATCCTATTTGGATCCATTCCATAGACAACAATGAGTACCAATCACATCTCACCTTCTACATGGGTTCCTGCTTAATTAGAGTGTCTTTTAATGACCTCTCATTAATAACTTGACATCAAGTTATTGAGGCAAGTACTGTATACCACCAAAACCACCCCAATTGTTAAGGAATGAGTCTCCTTTTCTAAGGCTTATTTTAACATAAGCCTTGCTCCATACAGTTTGTAAACTGTCCAATTGTGTATTTTAAAACATTTCTATTCACTTACATTGGTGTCTTCCCTCTGATTATTTTGCTCCAAAATCCTTTGTTGGTTTCGAGTAAACCTGTTTGAATTAGCAACATGGAAATATTGAAAAAAAAAATGCACATGAAAATGCTATAAAACTTAGCAGATTATTAATATGCAAATATTTAGGGACAAAGACCATGAGCTTCTTCACCACTCAATTCCCAGTAAAATACTTTAATCACTTTTTTCCGCTTAGTATAGAGGTAATGAATGATGCCCTTGGAGAAAACAGCAAGAATATGGAAAAGTATTAAAAATAATAAAATTCCATCCCCTAGAAGAGGTTCCTAATCATTTCTGTCACCTAGAAACTGTCCTTAATATTACGATGTCTTTCCTCCCAGTATATTTTCCTGAAGGCTAATCTATTTCAAACTGAATTGGAATCATACTTTACAGTTTTCTGCATCCTAATTCAATTCGTAGCAAGCATTTTTCTAATTACTCAGAAGTTCAATTTTTAGTGGCTGCATATTTTACTTTATGAACGTACCACATATTTAACTTTTCTTATTATTCCCAATTACGTAAGGTGTTCCAATTTTGCCATTATAATTTTCCACTGAAAATTTAAATGCATTTATCATATTTTCACTATCTTCATTTTTATAAGACATCTGATACCTACTAGCAATATTGAGCTTTTATAACATTTTAAAATTTTATACTGCTCACACACTGGTGGTAAAGGAGGAATAATTAGATAAATAAACAAACAAAATAATGGCTTTGAAAAAATAGTAAAAGTTGAAGGTAGATGCACAAGGTTCAAGTACCAGCATTATTATCAAGTAGTCATATGACCGTGGATATGATTTTCTGATCCTTATTTCAACCACTTCATCAGAAAGGTTTTTTTTTCAGGGATCAAGATGTCAGTAGATAATACAGGTGGATGGATGTGGAAATGCTTTGCAAGCTAAGAGTGGCTCTAGAAACATGGAATGAATAGTATGACACATCAACTCTGTGAACCTAAACACTTGAAAGCTGAAAAGCTTCCAAATCATTGGACCATGCACTTGGTTTTAAAGATTTCTCCCTTTCTGAAACACATGTGATTTTTCTTCTGTCGACTTCTGCCATTGGCTTCTTGTAGGCTAGTTAGAGACGAGTGTGAACACCATTCACAGGTCTAGTTCCATTTCCTTATTTGCATGACTATTTTTATATGTTCACATTAAAAATTTCCTCATTGGCTGCCCTGGTTTTTCATAGACTATTTTTCTCCACATAAAATATTCTCCCACCGCCAAAACCGGTTTGGCTCAATGAATAGAGCATCGGCTTGGGGACTAAAAGGTCCCGGGTTCGATTCCGGTCAAGGGCATGTACCTTGGTTGCAGGCATATCCCCAGTAGGGGATGTGCAAGAGGTAGCTGATTGATGACTCTCTCATCGATGTTTCTAACTCTCAATCTCTCTCCCTTCCTCTCTGTACAAAATCAATAAAAATATATTTAAAAAAAAATATTCTCCCACCAAAACCAGTTTGGCTCAGTGGATAGAGCGTCAGCCTGTGGACTCAAAGGTCCCGGGTTTGATTCCAGTCAAGGGCATGTACCTTGGTTTCGGGCACATCCCCAGTAGGGAGTGTGCAGGAAGCAGCTGCTCAATGTTTCTCTCTCATTGATGTTTCTAATTCTCTATCCCTCTCACTTCCTCTCTGTAAAAAAAAATCAATAAAACATATTAAAAAAAAAAAAAGAATTTAGACTTAATCTTAAAAAAAAAAGAAAAAAAAAGAAAAAAAGAAATTCTCCCCTCTTCCCCTCCCCTATTCTTCTCCATCCCAAACTCAAGGTCAACTTCACATTCCCTGAGACTTTGTTTACAGCACTCATCTATCCCAGAGCCTAGGAGGTGCTCAGTGCAGACAGCATTAGGTGATGGAGTCCAGGGCCCGCTCACAGGTTAGAGGTTTACGCAGCCCTGATGCCCCACAGTGCTCCCAGCACTGCTCATTCTCGAAGGCCACATCACTGGCTCCCAGAAGGCCAGGACCAAGATCCCTATCTTGGGAGGGAGGCAGCCTTGTCCTGAACCTGTTCTTGATTTTCCTGAGTGTTTACCTCGTAGGCCCTCTAATAAGAACGCTGAGTAACTGGTGGTGAAACCAGACTTGGAGGAGTGTCAGAGAGACTGCACTGTCTGCTCACCTCTCGTAGCCAAGGATGGCGTTATTCAGATCCTCATTCACTTGGATGAGCTCAATAGTTACGTCTTCATTCTCCACCACCACGAGCAGGTCCATGATTCGCTCCTGCATCTCCCGACCCGTCTTGTAAAGTTTCTGTCGAAGAGAGGAGAGAGCTTTCTTCTTCCATGCTTAGGAATGTTCTAGAAAGACAACTGATTCACCAATCTGTATACACTTGTGACCACCTCCCTCCACCTTGAGTCACCGACAGGAGATTACCAGATAATTAATTACGGATAGCTCATCCTTCCTAAGAAAACACAGTGAATTATAAGTGATATTTTCCTCTAAAAAATCAGAACAGGTGTCATGAGGACAAACTGGTGGCCTGCATGGAACACAGGACCTGAAATTAGAAGCAGAATTTGGGACCTCTGGATGCACTGCTTATTAAGCTGTACTGTTGGCAGAGGGAAGTGGGGGAGGACAATCAGGAATCACTTGTTTTTTAAATCTCAATTTTCTCATTTGATAAATGAAAATTATACTACTGGCCACGTCTGTTTCAAGAGCTGACATTTAAATAAAAATGAGGAGAATGAGGGAGGTAGGGGAGAGTAAGAGGGGGATAAATGGTGATGGATGGAGACTCCACTTGGGGTGATGAACACACAATACAGTGCACAGATGGTGTGTTGTACAGTTGGGCACTTGAAACCTGTATAATTTTGTTAGCCAGAGTCACCCCAATAAATTCAACAAAAAGGAAAAAAATAAAGTAAAATGAGATGTGCATGAGAAGGAATCTGTAGCCACAATGTACAACATACAACAGAAAATAGGTCATTCTCAGAGACAGTGACAGAAAGTAGTTCAACATTTACAGCAACATGGTTTTCCCATTCTGTTTTACTTAAATAAACATTTAAAACCTTTAAATTACAGTTACAGCATCACATTCCAAGATGAATGGAATCAGAATTTTAAAAGGAGTCCTGGATAATATCTTTATTTCAATGACCTAGAATCCTAGCAGCAAGCCTCAGAAGCCTACAGTGAGTCTACAACTGGGGCTGAAGGGCTGGGAATCTACCTTTATTTATTTTTTTAATATATTTTATTGATTTTTTACAGAGAGGAAGGGAGAAGGATAGAGAGCTAGAAATTTCGATGAGAGAGAAACATCGACCAGCTGCCTCCTACACACCCCCTACTAGGGATGTGCCCACAACCTATGTACATGCCCTTGACCGGAATCAAACCTGGGACCTTTCAGTCCGCAGACCGACGCTCTAGCCACTGAGCCAAACTGGCTTCAGCTTTTTTTTTTTTTTTTTTTTTTAAGAAGCATCAGGCCAAAACCGGTTTGGCTCAGTTGTTAGAGCATCGGCCTGTGGACTGAAGGGTCCTGGGTTCGATTCCAGTCAAGGGCATGTACCTTGGCTGTGAGCACATCCCCGGTGGGAGTGTGCAGGAAGCAGCTGGTCAATGTTTCTCTCTCATTGACATTTCTAGCTCTCTGTCCCTCTTCCTTCCTCTCTGTGAAGAATCAATAAAATGTATTTTTTTTTTTTAAAAAGAAGCATCAGAAGTGTTTCTTGTACACACTGACATTTGCAAACTACTGCCTTACAACTGACCTCCTTCTAGGCTAACCTCAAGGTAGCCTGAGGAGTGTAACGCTGACAGTAATACTCCTTCAAATCCACCTTGGCTGGAATTTGCCAATAGACTACTAACATCACACAAACACACAGGGACGTTTCCCCTTTCAACATGAAAGCGGCGGGACTTGCTAAGTCATCGCATTGTTACATTATTTGATATTTTCCCCCTCAAGAAAGACCCATTGAAAAACTGACACTTCACGGAACCATTTAGAGTCTCAAACAATCTATTACAAGGCTCTGACAAGAAATCTCTAAATAAATAAATCAAACCATTACCAGCTGCCATTTAGACTCCGAGGGAAAAGCCACTGCTCTCCACAAAATCATAACAAAAATATGTGCAAGACAAAGGGAAGTGAAAAGCGGTGGTGAAAAGTGAGACGGACAGATCGGGGCCTGATTCTGGGTTTTACACCTGCAACACGCAGCCAGAAAACAGTCCTATTTGCTAAATAAAGGCTTGGCCACTCTCAGCTGTGCTAACCAACTTTTTCCCTTACAGGTCCAGGTATTACAATATTTTCTGATCTCTGGGCCCTTTTTCTCTGTCAGAAGGACCCCACTCTGCATTATACCCTGAAAGCACCCGCAGACGCAATGTAAGCTGAGCTGGGCTCACTTATGGCCACTGGAATGAATGAGAAGAGTCTTTAGACTCAGTAGGCCAAAGGCCTCTCGCATACACAGACCTGACATGGAATTTAGTTACATTTTAGTTTCTAGGTGTTTTTTTGTTGTTTTTTGTTTTGTTTTTATCTATAAGACAAAGATAACCAACTATTTGGTAGGGTGATTGTAAAAATAGGAAATAATTGGCTGAAATTAGTTTGGCGCAATGGATAGAGCATAGGCCTGTGGACTGAGGGGTCCCGGGTTCAATTCCGGTCAAGGGCATGTATTTTGGTTGCGGGCACATCCCCAGTAGGGGGTATGCAAGAGGCAGCTGATTGGTGATTCCCTCTTGTTGATGTTTCTAACTCTCTATCCCTCTCTCTTCCCCTCTGTAAAAAAATCAATAAAATATATTTTTTAAAAAAGGAAATAATTGGAACACCCCAGTGCCTGGCATACAGTGGGGAGTCAAGAAATGCATGATGGTTGCATAAGGAGGGATCACTAGAAGCTTAATTAGGTAACTAGTACCCTCCTGTAATGTTCACACCACTACCGGGACCCAATATTATGCAAAGGCAAGGACTCGGAACAGCATTTAACACAATCCCCTGATGAATGAGGACTGCTCCTTTGTTCTTGTGCTTGGGAGTGCACAGAAATTATTCTCCTCGCTCCCTGGCAGGCTTGCTAGAGCAATGTCAAGATCAAGGGACTCCACTGGCTGTTAGAGGCCCGAGCCAAAAAAAAAAAAAAAAGTAGTCATTAATCTGCAATGAATTTGCAACCAACATCAATAGCCCCCATCACGTGAAGATCCTCCTTCTGCCCTCTGGACACAGACAGAAAGGAAACATGAAAGGAACACCACATCTCTCAGCAGGTTCGCAAGGCAGAGTGCGCCAAACCTCTTCAAACGCCAGCCCACTCTGATCTGAGCCATTGATGTCTGTCTCCGAGGAGGGCCAAGCCACCAGGAAACGGTGCAGATCAAGCGCCACGGACCAAAAGGACGGGTCAGATGCTCCCCACAGCAGGCACCTGCAGGGCTGTGCGTGTGGGAAGCCAGGGGGCGTGAGCCAAAAAACACAGAGTAACAGCTGCTGCTGCGTCTGTCCAGCACGGAGCCTCTGGAACTGCCCCCTTTCACACCATATCAAAGCAAAGGCAGGCTTCTAAGTCACAGTGAACTGAACGATCAATGCAAAAGTTTTTGGAACAAGGAGCTCATTGATGGCTTTCTCTTCTGACATCCAGAGGACTCCTAGTCCTCAGGAAGGAGCTCCCTCTGCACTTTCAACTCTGACTTGAATTTCCCATATGCACCAACCTGATAAGAGCGCCAAGTAACTGGTGGTGAAACAAACTCAATTAGATCAACTCAATATAAAGGGAAAGAAGCCCTAACTGGTTTGGCTCAGTGGATAGAGCATCGGCCTGCGGACTCAAGGGTCCCAGGTTCAATTCCAATCAAGGGCATGTACCTTGGTTGTGGGCACATCCCCAGTAGGGGGCGTGCAGGAGGCAAGCTGATCAATGTTTCTCTCTCATTGATGTTTCTAACTCTCTATCCCTCTCCCTTCCTCTCTGTAAAATAAATCAATATAAAGGGAAAGAAAGGTGTCCGAACATCTCCCCTGAAAAAGTGAATACAGAAAAGAAGCGTTACTTGAAAGCTGTCTAGAAATAGTATCTGCATCGCGAAACTCCTTTTATCAGCCCACGCCATATTTCCTCTCTCCAGGGCACCACACCCAGATTGAAAGAGACCCAAAGAACGTTTCTATCTGCTCAGAATAAAAACTACCCCCCACCCTAAAACCAAACATCTCTCAATCCAACTTAGCCCTACAGTCTCTTTTGCCTTATACAAGGACAGCTGAGTGAATGACAAATGAATTGTCAAGATAATCCTCAAGAAGATCAGCTCATCAGGACCCTTCTGACTCTGTCCCAACTATAAAAGTTGTCAACCTTTGACTTACAGAAAAGTTTGTTTTCATTAACTCTTTAGCCCACTCCACCCCAGGTCTTCCCCTGTCTATTGTCTGTGTCCATGATCTCTGCATATCCTATATAATAAAAGGCTAATATGCAAATTGACCGGATGGCAGAATGACTGGTCACTATGATGTGCACTGACCACCAGGGGGCAGAGTTCAACCCAAGAGCTGCCCCGTGGTGGTCAGTGTGCTCCCAGATGGTGAGCACAGCGGGGATGGTGGGAGCCTTTCCCTCCTCCCTCGCAGCACTAAGGATGGCCTAAGCCATCAGTCAGACATCCCCCAAGGGCTCCTGGACTGAGAGAGGGCATAGGCTGATGGATTTTGTGCACCAAACCTCCAGTAGGCTTATAAATTATTTCGTTATTCTCTTCCTGCCCCTTCTACTTTTAATACCTTACTAGTTTCTGAGTGGTAAAGACAGTAAGAGTGATCAGGGGAGGATGACTTTTTAAAAAATTTTCCTTTCATGATTTTTTCTCAACTGCTTACAAATTACTCTTACAGAATCAAATTTTACATTCACATGATTTGAAACATCTCTAATAAGCTAGAGTGCGGCTTTCTCTGGCCATAGTTTGAAAATCTGAGCTGATTTTATTCTGCAGAAGATGAAAACATTCTGTTCTCTCATTGTCCTACTGGGGCTAGACAAAACAAGAAAGACTAAAATGGGAGGTAACAGGAAAAGTCAGCTATTCAAGGTCAGAGTAAGTTGGTCCAAAGCCAAGTGCACAAGGCCAAGAAAGCAAATGCAAGAACACATGCAGTCATGTTTCATTCCTGTGACTAGAGCAAATGCTCTTTAACTCACCAGAATCTTTGTATTCCTCACTGGGAAACTAAAAATATCCCAGTCCTCCCCTGA